TAGGGCAAGTTCCAGGGCCCCGACAGGGCCCCCCAGCATGCCCCCGAGGAGCTGAAGCGGGCTCTCAATAGCACGCCCTATCAGGCATCAGTAGGCGCGCGAGCGTCTTGCAAGTATCAAGCACGCGCCAATTCGCCCGTGAAGCGCGCGACCTCCACAAATTGCAGCGCCGGTCTCGGCGCGCTCGCATGCGCCGCTGATCTCGCCTCCCAAGTCTCATCAGCATGGGCGCGGCGCGACTTCAAGGAGGCCGTCGGCGGGCAGAGACCCGCGGGCGCGTGTCCCAGGAAGAAACGCTCGGGCTCGCCTTTGCCGCAGTTGGCAGGATTGGAGACCGCCCCTGGCGTCGATCGTCGCAGCCGCGAATCGGCGGTTCCAGCGCCCCCGCGCGGATAAATGTTCAACTGTCGCTCTGGGGCGCGGTCTAGGCAGGCATCTCTCGCCCCCCTCCCCTTCGACGCGAGCGTCGCGCGCGACGCGCGCGTTGAGCTCGAAGACGCCCCGCCCCTTGGTGACTGACAGCAGGCGCGTGGAAGCTGAGGGCTCGGCTGCTGGACCGGATGCGCCCCCCGGTTCAATCGTCCAGCGTTCTGCCCACCTCGTCTTCAGCTGCGCATCGCCCGCTAGTTGCCAAGAGCACTGTCAGAGTGCATGAGCCAATCAAATGGTTTGAATGGGCATTATCTACGCTTCTCAAATCGGGGGGGGGGCCTCAGGAAGCCGCCGAGACAAGGTCAATCTTGGGTTCCTTCCAGATGGGCAAACAGGCCTCTCGCCATAGCCACAATTGCTCTGGCTTTTTCCCAGCTGGCAGGAGGCAAGCAGTCTGGGGGGCTCTCGGGAAGATGCACGGAGCTTTGAGCCTTCGCAATTCGCGGGCGATCTCCCAGGGCCATCAGCAGGGCTAAACCTCAACGGTGTTTTCGTTTTCGTCTTGTTTTCGTTTTCCTTCGTTTTGCCAACAATCCGCCTTTGCCGCAAAACGGCATCGAAACCAAAACGGCCCACGGAATCGTCAAAACACCGTGTAGGCCCAGCCCTGGCAAGCAGGGGGGCGTTCTCTGCAGCGGCGGGCGACGACGAATCGATTGCTCGGCTGCTGCAGGCGCGCGGCGCCCCCGAGCCAGCTGCCCGCGAGGCGCGGGGCGATCCTGCGCGAAGGGGCCCTGGGGCGCGCAAGTGCATGCGCGCAAATAACAAGGGCCCCCATGTGTTCTCATATTTTCTTGGTTTTTGTCTTCCCCCCCACTTCCCACATTTTCCAATGTGTCCTGGGGAATCGACGATTAATTGTGTCTGTGCGTTTTTTCCCCTCCGGACTACATCTCACGCCGCGGAGCTCGACGAACGCGGGGTCCCTGCTCGTCGCCGGGCCATCCGATCGGGCGCGCGCGATCAGTCCTGGTTCTTCGCGCAAGACGGCAAGTATGCGATTTCCCGCTCGTCGGGCCGGGGCCCAGTCAACAATGCGGTGACCTCGCGCGCGACTGCATCAAAGCTCGGATCACTAATTTCGCCCAGGATGGGCTCTCAGAGCCCAGCGTATCTACTACGTCCCCGGCGCAGCGTAGTTCTTCGCTGGAGGTCGACCGAGTTTTCGAGGAGCCAGCGCATGCTTGCCACTCCATGGAAGTTGCCCTCTTCGACGATGCGCGCGTTGGCGTCGCGGGCGGCGCTCGTTCATTGCTCGCGCAACCGCCCAGTCCAGAAACTGATATCATCGAGGCCCTGTCGAAAAGGGGCCTTAAAGTCAACGCGGAGCCCGGGCCGTCAGCGTTCATGTTCCAGTTCCGCGGGCCCAGAGCTCGGATTATGCAGCGCGCCCTCGTCACATGCACGCAAGCCACCATGCGCGTTTGCGCGAATGCCGCGGGCGCGGCGGGGCGGCGTAGAGCCTGGCGCTGCGCGCGCCTCAGCGCGGCGCGCGACGGAAGCGATGCGCATAGACGGAAGCGACGCCACCGGTCGCGACTTTCCCTTCGCACGCGCGTGCCCACGTATACTTCGATGAGCCGCGCATCTGCCGCCGGTTTCCCGGGCTCGCGCCTTAGTCGAGGACGTCTTGCGCAACTTGCACCGATGCGCCGCTTGCGCGAAGGTCTGGTGAGATACTGCAGAGCAGCCGTTCGTCTCCAAAGGCAAGATGATGCCGGTGCTCGCAACGCCCCCGTGCTTGCTGCGGTCGCTCGGGCCGCTGTTAAGCGCTCGTTAGCCGCGCATCGGTGTCGCCTGCGCGGCAAAATGCTCCGCGCGCGCCTCCTCGCTTGTCTCCGCGAGCTTCCGAAGTCCAAGAAGTGCCCCGACCCGCGTGGGGACTTGCACGCCTGGGAGGTTGAGATCCCCAAGTCCCCAACGGCGTGGGCGAACACAGGTCGGCAGGCTACCGAAGCTACAACTCGACAGCAGAAGCGTGAAGCTCGGGCCACTGCCGCTGAGCATGAAACTGGTGCTGCTCCATGGGATTCGGGAGTTCCGCCAGCTTACGACGGCCCCCCTCCGCCCTCCCCGCACGTCCCAAGCACGCGAGCCCAACGTTTGAACATGGTTATGGTGCAACGTGATTTTCCCGACGGCTCAAAAGTTTACAAAACTTATGCATGCCAGTCGTGGCGATCATAGTGGGGTCCAGGGTATCCGACTTACCAACGAGAGCAGCACGCAATGTCCGACATGCATGCAACAGTTTGCGCAACGCTCCGCACTTACAGCCCACCTTGTCTTCGATTATGCACGGTGCGCGGTGGTGTACTGGATTTGTGGTCCGCACTGCACGTACGACGAGGCGCTTAGATTGAACAAGGAGGAAGGGAAGCTTAATACTCAGAGGAAGGCAGGGCAAAGAAGATAGCGCACAGAGCGCCCTGCTCACAGAGGCCCTGGGGTTCGATCGAGGAGGTGCAGTATATGGCATGAGTTCCCGGTCCCGAGCAGGCTCAGGAAGTCTCGTGCAGGTTTACGTCATCCCCCACCCCAGACTGGGAAAGACTATCAGAAGATGCTCAACAAGTCCCCCGCAACTTCAGCCCCAACTCGCAAGCCACCTCCATACATGTACAACTCAACGGACTTCTCAAGCTTCTGTTTCTCAGAACGTGCCGCTGCAACGCGGCACCTTCTTCGTTCATAGTGTACTACGTGGGCATCGCTGGTCAGGAGATGCGCACTGGCACATCGAGTGCTCGATCGCAGCCCCCCGGTGTTGACACAGCGGTCGACGGGGCACGTGGAGACCTCGCCCCAGAAACAACGGTTCTCGAATGTGGATAAGAGCAAAGCGGATGTCATCGCGTCATCGACTGTGGCGGGTGGCCGCCACATGAAGCGTGGCCGGCGTCGAGATGGCAGGGTGGCGGCCCCCCTTCCGCCCAGGACTGCGCAGCATGCCTTTGGGGGTTCCGAAGGCCACGGGCCACGAGGCGCCCGTCGGGAAAGGCTCGGACGGGATCGCAGATCTGCCATGCCTTGCTCCGCTCACCAGCTGAGCATCTACGTGCAGGCACGTCTGGCTGGCTTGAGCATCCAGCATCCCCGCCATGGGCTAGAGGCGCGCAACCTGCGGTCGAATGGAAGCCCATGCGAGCGATCTGGTCATCTCCCTGCGCAGCTCGCACGACCGTCGATCAGCGTGAAGATAAGCCTCCAGGCACTGACCCCGCAGGTGTGGGTAGGGCCCCGACCACCATAGTTTCCCTTCGAATTGCCAGCTTGACAGGTCTCCTGAAGGCCACTCCTGGGAAAGGTTTTGTTCCCACGTGAAGGGGTCACACTTGATCCTCCTCAGCATATTCCTCTGGTGAATTCAAGACGGCCGCGAAGAAAGCCTGACCAAGTAGTTTACGTAAAACCATTGCCACAGCCACAGTGTATGTTACAAGGGAGCTGTCGCATGGTCCTGAAGATGTCTCTCTTTATATTCTCAAGACTGGGAGGGGGTAGCCACAATATCCGTGAGGGTATGAAGGAGTTGTATGGCTCGAGAGCGCGTCAAGCACCAAACAGCAACAGCCGGGTTCTTCCGTGCGCCCCTGACTCTGCAGGCTTCGAAGGCCGTCGCCAGAAGCCGGTGAGCGCTAGGATCAGAGTCGATCCTAGCGCCACCGATTTCGGGACACCCATTCAAGTGGTGAAGAGGCTCACGCTCAGCCTGACGATGCAGACCAGGCCTCCGCGTCTGCACCAGAAGCGGAGGCTGAGCAGGAGTTGCTGACCAGCTTTGGGGGCTCCCTGGCCTCTGGCCTCCTCCCCTCCTCCCCTGTCTCCGCCTCGGCTTCCCCCCGCTCGAATCGGCGATAGATCGCAGACAGATCGGCGATAGGCCCCCGATGGCGAATGTGGAGGTTCCTAGGCGGGGTCGGCTATACCCCTGACTGCCCCCAACCCCGATGAATTGGGATTGGTTCGACGTCCGAATTATCTGGGACAGCTCTGGCCTGGGATAGCGCCGCCTTGGGCCCCTGGAGCACGAATCAGCAGCTGCCCCTGACCACCCGCAACCCTGATGACTCTGGGCCCTGACGATTGTGGGTCGATGCATCCCCCCCCTGAACAGATCCCTCCCCACAGACCCTCGACGTCGTGATTTTTTCGCAACGTCGACCCCCAGAGGTCTGGACCACTTCCCCGGGATCGGTTTTTCATCCTGAACAATTTTTCTGACGGTCCCGCGAGGCCTGGTAAGAGCCCACGGAGGCCGAAAATAGCCAACAACCTCACGTCGTGATTTTGTTCGCAGCGCGAGGGCTTCTGGGCCTATCGCCACGTTGGTCCCATCGTACTTAAGGACCACATCCCAGAAATAATTTCGAGCACCCGTACAAGTGTCGAAACAGTGTCGGACGAGTGCGAATGTCTCCCATGCCCCGACACGTGAAAACCCTCGAGTTTCGGTATATTTCTGGTGCTCGATATTTTTTCTGGTGGTGAAGGCTAAAGTATGTTAAAACATCATAGGCCTATCGCTGCCCCTGACCCCCCTCCCTGCCCCCCCCCCGCGCGACTTCCTTGACCCAGTCGGGCAGGCCCGTCGGAACGCCCAGGCGGCCGCAGACGGCCTCAGGGGCACCGGGCGCACACACCGGCGTCCCCGGGAACGCGAGGGAACAGGAGGAGGAGGAGGGAACAGGAGGAGGAGGAGGAGGAGGAGGGAACAGGAGGAGGAGGAGGAGGAGGAGAGAACAGGAGGAGGAGGAGGAGGGAGCAGGAGAAGCAGGAGAAGGAGGAGGAGCAGGAGAAGGAGGAGGAGACGGCTCCAGGAGGACCCTCAGAACTCGGGGTCGTTAAATGCTCTTCTTGGGGCCTGCCTAGAGCCACCCACTTCCCTCGTGTTCGTTTGCAGCGCCACATTGAAGGGGCTTAATAAAGAACGGACACTCGGAAGCAACGATCACGGTGATGCGAGCGTGTAACCACCGTGCGATCAGCAAGAGGCGAAACGCAACACGCGCCAAGCAGCGTCCTGCCGACGTGGCCGAGCGTGTGGCCCAGCCACTCGCTCCGCTCGTGCGTCGATGCTGCGCCGAACGTCCGTCGCCTTGAGTCGAGTCTGCGCCGAGCTGGAGTCAAACTGGAGCCAAGCCAGAATCGAACAGATCTACCAGGTGGGCCCCAGGAAGGTCCCCCAAACGAGCACCTGAGGAACTGGAACGCTCGTGAGGAGGCGATCGCGCGGAGCAAGGGGCGGAGCGTATCTCATGAGGGCCGTGGCCTCGCGCTCAACTGGTCAGGAGGCGCGAGCCTGCTCAGAGGGGGCCGGCGTCGGGGAGCGTGCCAGAGGTCGCGCTCGAGCTGACACCGCGTTCCACCTTGAACGGTCCAGCTGTTTCCGAAACGTCAGATTGTTCAACATCGACCGATTGTGGGTCGCCGGCGGCGCTTACCGTTAAACGCCAGCAGCGGCGTCGCCACAGGTCGCCCCGACGCGGCCCTGCCGAATTCAGATCCATGTCATCGCAGTCTGGATTCTGGGGCACGATCCTATGGATGCGATCCCCTTCCTCCTCCTCCTCCTCCTCCTCCTCCTCCTCCTCTTCCTCCTCCTCCTCAGAGTGAGAGAGAGAGAGAGAGATTGAGAGGATCGTGGGGTGCGACTGGCCTGCAGCCCGAGGATCCTCGCCGCAGAAGCGTTGGTGGTGCGCAGACGCCTGGGATTCGCGCCTCCGCCTGCTGGCGCCCCTGCTCCGCCACACGGCGGACGGAACTATCGGGCGTTGCTTCATGGGGGGGCGACGACTTGGGGGGAGAAACGTGCACGTCTAGTGCCGGAGGGGGGAGGAGCAGGAGGAGGAGGAGGAGGAGAAGGGGAGGAGGAGCAGGAGGAGGAGGAGGAGCAGGAGGAGGAGGAGGAAGGGGAGGAGGAGGAGGAGGAGGAGGAGGAGGAGGAGGAGGAGGAGGAGGAGGAGGAGGAGAGGAGGAGGAGGAGGAGGAGGAGGAGGAGGAGGGGGGGGGGACGGGGAGGGAGGAGGAGGAGGAGGAGGAGGAGGAGGAGCAGGAGGAGGAGGAGGAGGGAGGAGGAGGAGGAGGAGGAGGAGGAGGAGGAGGAGGGAGGAGGAGGAGGAGGAGGAGGAGGAGGAGGAGGAGGGAGGAGGAGGAGGAGGAGGAGGAGGGGGACGGGGAGGAGGAGGAGGAGGAGGAGGAGGAGGAGGAGGAGGAGGAGGAGGAGGAGGAGGAGTAGGAGGAGGAGGAGGAGGAGGAGGAGGAGGAGAGGTCCCTGCATCACTCCCGGGGTCCACCCTGGCCTGTTCTCCATCCCGTCGGCGGCCACGAGGCCCGAAACAGCAGCCCATCGGACCGAACATGGCAAAAAACGACCTCTTTCGAGCCTCGATCCCGGCGCAGAAGTGCCGGCGGTGCGCAAGAGGTCGCAGAGACGAGGCTCCCCCCCCTCGCCGCCGTCGAGGGCTCCCGCCGGCGGGGGCCGCGGCGGCGAAAGACCGGCGGGCCTCCGCAATGGGCGTGCCGGGAAGGGCCGGGGCCCGGGGTGGGCGGGCGGGCCTCGCAGAAGCTGTGGCAGTTCTGGCCGTGGATGCGGTACGTGTGCTGGCTCCACTCCTGGGGGGGGGGCGGTCTGTGACGCGCATGCGCCGCGAGACTCAGGAGGACTTTGCCGTGCCTGCGCCTGGGGTGGGTGGGCAGTCCATGACGTGCTCGGGGGCGGTCCATGACATGCTTGCGCCGTGCTTGGCGCCACGACGGAAGGCATGTGGCAACACGGGGGGCCCTTGCTGGGCCCTGGGGCCGTCAGAACGAATCCAGGATGAGGAGTCGGTCCACGGGGAGGGGTCCAGACCTCTGGGGGGCCACGCTGCGAACAAATCGCGGCGTCGAGTGTTTGGGTGGGGGGAGAGAGCGGTGGACCAGCGCTTCCTATAATGCGCGGCATAGCCGCCGGGAGGCCAGGGGCGCAGGCCGTCAAAACTGCCAGCTGATCAACCAATGGGAAGAGGACTCCTCGATGCCGAAGCTGGCCTGCGAGGGAAGGGAAGGGAGCGAGCGGAAGGTCTGGGAAGGCGAGAAAGAGAGAGAGAGAGAGAGAGCGTGAGAGGGAGAACGAGAGAGAGAGAGAGAGACAGAGAGGGAGAGAGGAATATAACAAGAGAAACATGATATGCACAAAAAGATACACATATATATATATGTATATATATATATATGTCACTGACAACGATCGAACGATCCAATACAACAAAACAACAACCTATACAGAACGGCGATCGCGACACAACGCATACGGTTGTTGTGCATGTATGTGAGCTATGTTGCCTCGATCATCATGTCTGCCTTTCACGTTTGCGATTCGTGCCTATCAGTATACTATCCGTGAACTGCCTCTCTGTTTGATTCATAGGAGGGATTGTTGAGCTCCACGGTGGTCGATATGGGGTATATCCTATCTGATCCCCAAGCACTGCTTGCAATTCGGATTTCTCATTGTTGGTCTGCAAACCTGGGCCTGCGTGTCGGTTTGGCGGCTCCGCGCTGCCCGTCGCAGCCTCGCAGCCGCCCGTCGCCCGGGTTTGTGCACATGTGGTTCTGCCCCATCGCCCCCCGAAATATGAATTCGTATGGTTCCAGCCCAACTGGTATCCGCGCCCTACCATCATCTTCTGGGAAAATGCGCGCGCACCCCTTCATCAAAAGTCAACCGGTGTCAACCACCCACGCAGAAAGTGGGACGAGGTGCGCACGCGTGCGACATCGCGGGCGAATGCCGCAATCTTCTAAAAAGCAAGAGATTGTCGTACGGAATCCAAACTCGATTGTCCAGAACAGTGCAACATCACATGGCTTTGCAACATCATTCATTGTATACATATATATATATATATGTATACACATATGTATGTACAAAAGAGTGCTCGCGCCCCACCGGATTCTGAAGAAAACCGTAGGTTCTTGAACGTTTTCGTTACATTCGGCCAAGCAGGCCTCTCGCGCCACATGTCAAAATCAATCGGGCGCAGGCCGCGCATCTCGAACTCGCTCAAAAAACTTTCATCACCGACGCGAGGACGCCGTGATCGTCGTCGGCGTGATCAGCATCGGCGCCTGCTGGCCGTGCCGTCGCCTTTAACATCATCACCAGCTTCATCGTCGAATCGTGTCTACCGTTGTCGGCGTTGACATGAAACCCCGCCCGCCCAAGTCGCCGACTCGCACTGAAGTGCCCACTGGGAAATGCCCAACGGTCTGCGCCATCGCGACCGCGTCGGCCGCGCCAAACTAGCTGGCCGCTGCGTGCGCGAGCATGCGCGGGCTAGCGCGGCCGCAGCGATGCGCCAACCAGCGCCAAGCAGACACCGCAATCATCGCCGCATGGGTTTTGCAAACCAACCCGCGGGTGGGTGGGTGGAATGATTGCGCGAGCAGTAGAGTTGACAACTTCAAGTCGGACCAGGTGAATTGCACCACATAGAGCGTCACATATAGATTGCAAACCGCAGATATTGCATTACAAGTACTGCACAGCATCGATTGCACCACATAGGTTGCGCGACATCGACTGCGCAACAGCAATTGCACCAACAGGTGTATTGCACCCCACCGGTTGCACTACATACGTGGCACACCATAGATTGCCTCCCGTAGTTTGAACAACACGTATTGCACAACATCGAATGCACCTCAGAGGTTGCCAACATTTATTGCACCACATAGCGTGCCCCACACATATTGCAGCCCGTAGATGGCACGATGTGCTTTGTCGCGCCTGTGGCGCACCCTTTGGTCACTAACAACCTATATTGCTCTACGCGGATTGCACAACATAGCTTGCACCACATAGGTTGCACAACGCGTGTTGCACAACATGTATTGCACATCGCATATTGCACTACCTACATTGCACAGCAGATATTGCACAGCATAGGTTGCGCAACGTTTTGCGCCACCTGAAAAGCTTCACGTAGAGTGCACCGCATAGATCGTATCACATGTGTTGCTCCACATAAGTTGCACATCATCAGTTGCACCACATCTAGTACACCACGCAGTTTGCACCACCTTCATTGGACAGCAAACGTCTGCACAGCACGTATTGTGGCACATTGGTTGCTTCAAATAGTTTGCAGCACATAGATCGCACCACATAGTGCACACCATGGATGGCACATCCAGATTGCAGAACAAAGGTTGCACTGCAGATCGCACATCTTTTACGGCACAACATAGGTTGCGCAACAAAGGTTGCACCACATCGACTGCACAACATGTTTTGCTAAAAACACACGGTTTGGGGTCCCACTTGGCTAACATGCGCATGTATACACATCATCGCCTCGCAAAATGAACCTCAATCTAGATACGTTTCGTATGCTGTGTGAACCCTGTTCCCTTTGTCTTGCCACCGCGTGCTAATATTTGCTATTAGTGTGTTCCCGTGTTTGTTGTAAATGCCAGTGCCTAGTGACTGTGATGTACGCATGGCAATAAACGTTGGTTTGCATACCTGGTACAGCTGTATACCATACTATTTAGATGCAATTTTGTCATCAACCTCTGACCAAGTATGACAAGCGCATGTCCGCCACGTGTATTATGCATGTGTGTACTATACGTGTGGTGAAGTATACGTGTGCTCTTCATGAAATGTATGATTTCTGCCTTTCCTTTGGATGCGCCATGCGTTTCGTAGTTGCCAATGGAGGGCGCGAGGCGGGACGCTGGAGACCAACTGGGAGCCTTGGAACCTGGCGGCCGCGGCGCGCGCGTCGGGCGCGGGGATCGGAAATTTCTCCGATCCTCCTCATATCATCTAACGGCCCCGTCCTATCGAATGGGGAGCAGTCGTGGCTCTCGACCCGACCTTATCTGCGGCATTTCTCGGGCTGGGGCGACCCTGGAGGCCTCCAAGGCTAGAACCTCCTACATACGACGACCTGCATTATCTCGAACCCCTGGCTCCTGGAATTCCCGACCCCGTCCCAGAGACCGTTCGCTCGCCTTGGCTCTTCCGTTGACGGACCCCCGGACCCAGAGGAATCCCTGGGGAGACGACGGAGGATGGCGAAGAATTTCTGGCGTGGCGTGATTCCTTCCTTCGTTCCCAGACCTCCCTCCATCCTCTCTCCACTACCTTCCCTCTCCTCATCTCTTGCTTGCCGAGTCTCAGCCATCCCGCTTCTCCTGAAGCTTGTAGCGCGCGTACCTGTAAACTCGTGGGGCTAGGGTCCCGCGGTAGGACGTCACATCTTAGATTCGAGGCAAGCGTCGCTTATCCGTTCTAGGGCGTCTGCCTGCAGAACGCCATTATTTCTTCATGGTCCAACTGATGCCGTAGAGACCGCCAAGCGTGAGTGATCCATTTCCTTGGGTGATTCCTCCACCCTCCCTTGTCACGCATACGATAGAGGCGGCTGTGGCGCGCGTTCTGCCTCTCGCGAAGGCAGAACCACGACAGGTCCACCTTCGGTCGCGGACACGTCACTACATGGTACTTCCCCGACGCGTGGGCACAGCCTGCTTGCACAGGTGTTGGAGGCACTGTGCCAGCGGGAGGTGCCCGCATCCATTCCTTCCCCGTCTCGGCGGCGAGCGAGGAGGGGAAATGATAGGGAGAAGGCCTTCTCAGAAGGCGCGGTACTTCTCAGAAGCCCCCTGGCCTTCCGAGAAGTGTCCTGCGCCTTGGCGGGAGGCGTCGTTCTCAGAATTCGGGGGGGCTTCCGAGCCTTCTGAGAAAGCCCGGCCCCTCTCACTTCCCCCCCCCCCCTGCTCGCCGCCAATCCAGGCCAAGGATGGCGCCCATTCACGGCTCCATGCCTGCTAGCTGCTCCTCCCACCAGTTGGCAACAGGCCACATTCCGTGCCGACCCAGCTTTGCAAGGTCATCATTGTTTTGTTGTTCTCTCTCTCCCTCCCTCTCTCTCTCTCTCTCCCTCTCCCTCTCGCTCCCTCTCTCTCTCTCTTTATCATTCTCTCTCTCTCTCTCTCCCTTTCTCTCCCTCTCTCTCCCTCTCTCTCTCTCTCTCTCTCTCTCTCCTTTGCCCTTATTCGCCGGCCCAGCGGGCCAGAGGCGTGCAAACATCTCCGGCGATTGGTTCAAAGTTTCTAATTCGCGCGCGCGGGGCCGCCCCTGGGGGTCCCCGACCGAACAGTACCCCAGCAAGGTCCCGGCAAGGTCCTGGCAAGTCCGCCTCAGAGGTGAGTTTGCTCCTGGGCGCTGCCTTCAGGGCCTCCCAGTAGCCTTAAAAAGAGCCAAGATGGCCCGAAGAGGTCGCCAAGATAATCTCAGAGGGCTCCGAGACACCACAAGATAGCTCCAAGACTCCTTGCCCCAAGACGCCTAAAGAAGCCTCCAAGACGCACCAACTAGTAAGAACCATTGATTTTCACGACAATGTTCGATGATTTTCTCGTTCTCGCATTTTCAACTTCTCGATGCTCCAAGAGCGGCCAAGAGGCCCACAATCTCGCCCCAAGACGGCCCAGTAGGCTTCTGAGAACGCCCCAACACGGCTCAAGAGGCCTGCAAGAGGGCCCCAAAACGGCCCCAGATGGCCACTAGACAGTCCAAGAGGCCTCCAAGACGGCCCACGAGGCCCCCAAGACGGCTCCAAGAGCGGGCCTTGACGGGGGACCCGAACGAAAGTTTCGAGATCTCGGCCCCGAGAGGCCCCGAGGAGGCCCCAAGAGGCCCCAAGAGGCGCACAAGAGGCTCCAAGAGGCCCCCAAGAAGCCCCAAGATGTCCCCTAAAAAAAACACCAGGCCCCCGAGAGGCCTCTCGAAGCCCAAGCAGCCTCCCAAAGAGGCGTCTTGTCCACGACCAGCTTGGACCCCAAATGCCACAAGAAACCCATCGAGAGGCCTGCTCGTCATGCTCATCCCCCCCTCTTCCTCCTCCTCCTCGTCCTCGTCCTCCTCCCTCTCCTCCTCGCTCGCCACGAGCACACAAACATATAGCACCAGTGATACAATATGGGCCAGCGGAATGAGCGAAGCGATCCAATGACAGTATCCTCCTCCTCCTCCTCCTCCTTCTCATTCTCCTCCTCCCCTAACACTACCAATCCTCCTGGAGTGGCGGTTGGTTGGCCGCATCGGGAGCGGGAGACGCTGGCACGTTTTGATAGTTGGGGCACTAGGCCCGCATGCGTACACCTGGCGCCGTTACACGTCAAGCCGTGGTATACGACAGAACCAAATCAAAAAACCTTCTCCTCCCGACCACGCACGCGAAGACCTAAGCCCTGATCCCGCGACCAACGACGTCGTCATTGTGTAACCCACGGGTGAAAGGACCCACAGAAGAAAGGACAACGGTCCAACTGCCATGCCAAGAGTCGCAACTATGGGTACCACAAACATGTTTCGTCGAGCGATGGCCATATCGTAATTAGAACTTTCGAGGCGGCCGGGAGGTCTAGCCTGGTTGGGTCCCGAGAAATTCGGTAAAGAGCGGGGGCAGGAGGCCAAATCCTCTCAAAATCGGTCCCCGGACCCTCCCGGGCTCTATCTTGTGTATATTTTCACCCTGGACGTGCTCAGGACGGTCCCAGGGGCCCGAAAACAGCCCCAGGAGACCCAAAACACCCTCCCGAGCCAAGAGCCTCCAACCCCGAACACCCCCATTCTTGCTCGGCGGAACGAGTGCCTGGCCACCTCAGAACCCCCGCCGATTCCAATTAAAAAAGTCACTGCCCGCCCGCATCTGCCAGTTCCAGCGTGAGCTCCCGCGGGCCCTTCGCACGTTGCCCGGCGCAGGCGCAACCCATGTCTGCGACAAAGCTGCCGGCATCCCCCAGCCACCCTCCCTGGGCTGCCTGGGCTGCCTGGCTGTACTGCTTCACCATAGCATCGCAATACAGGATAGAATCTGAGACGGTGTCTAACAGCGCGAGGTAAGGAATAGAGACAAGGCCAGCAATCACGCCGCCACCAACGAAGACAAGCTCCGCATTCTCAACAAAGTGAGGGTCGTCGGGGTCATAGAAACCGTCGGCTATGATAACCCATCTGTACGACAGCCAGCTTGTGAGCATGCCAATGCTCGCGGCTGCGCAAATACCAGCAAGCTGAAAGACCTTGGTTGTGGCATTCAAGACAGTCGCTGCGTCGCGGTACTGCTCCAGGAGCAGATCCCAGCCGTCTTCAGCAGACTCGCAGAAAGGCTTCGAGACCATGGCCATCTCCATGAAGGCATGCTTGTCCCATTGTCCCAAATAATCTTCAAACCAATTCGGGATCAAACAACACAACGATCGGAAAACTCGGCCAGCGCAGCCGTCATTGATTCGCGCGGTGGCCGTGATCGCACCGAGGACTGTCCGTAAGGGGTACAAGAGCCCGACCACCAATGAACCGAGGATCAACGAGCCCGAATGATACCGCAAGGCCCTCCAGTAAGCCGTGCAGGCACCGCACGAGGATCGAGCATTTCCAAAAACACCGCCGCCATTGAAATACCAGGCTTCCGTCGTGAACGCAATGACAAAGTTGGATAATGCGCTCAGCAGGTGAAATGTCCACACGTCCATGAAGAAGGCGAAGATGGCCGAGGCGAGCATCCAACCTCTACGGCCCTGCTGCACGATACACAAATAATGAGACATCAAACTCAACAAGAAAACGAACATGGTTACCAGCCGTAATCCGCCGGACCCCTGGGGAGGCAACGGCTGCACTGAGGCCTACTGGCTTGCTGCCTTACAGGGGGCTTCTCGACCTCGATATGTCGTCTCCTTCCCCAAGCAGTGCTTGCACTTCGGGGGTCTGTCTTGGTTTGAAAGGAACTGGGCTCGCGTCGCCCTGGCCAGCCTTGTCGTCGCCCCGTCGCCGCGCAGTCGCCGCCTGTCGCCGCCTCGCCGCGGGCTTGTGTGCCGCCCCTGCCACCTTGTACCACATAGGTTGCACCACATACCTTGCACCACATAGCTGACATATAGTCCACAGCATATATTGTGCCACTTAGTTTGCACCACAGAGCTGAAGCCGCGTAGATCGCACCAGATGGATTGCACCACATAGGTTGCACTACACAGCTCACACCTCATAGATCGGACCAAATAGATTGCGCCACATAGCCTACACCAAATATTGCTCACAAAACCTAGATGAGTACGTTGCCCGCTCATAATTTGCACCACACATTTTGCACAGCATAGCTCACACCGCATCTATTGCACTGCATATGCTGCACCACTTGGATTGCACCACATCTCTTGCATCATATAGATCGCACCACATGTATTATATCAAATTGTTTGCACTACATCTTGCACACCCCATAGATCGAACCACTTAGATTGCACCACGGGGGTTTGCACCACACAGCTTACACCACATAGCCTGTACCACATAGCTTGCACCACATAGCTTGCACCGCGTAGCTTGCATCACCGACTATGCTAAAAACCACTGTTTCGGGTCCACGCTGGCAAGCGTCACTTGTAATCTCGTCTCTGGGGGAACCGCACGGTACTGATACCGCTACTCCCCGAACCTCTCCCCGGCTGCGTTCTGACCAGAATCTCACGGCGAACCCAAACGTGGCGACGAGGGCCTTTCAGGAGGCTCGAACATGTGAAAGCGAGGCAAGGGCAGCGGCAGCAGTACCTTCTCCTCCCCCGAGTCTCTTCTACTGCCTGCTGGGGAGGGGGGGGGGGCACGGCGGTAAAGCTCGCGCCCGGGGGACGTCCATCGGCCTCCTGGCTGCCCTCGGCTGCCCTACAGCAGGGGCCCGACCGCTAGAAACCTTCCACAAGGAACCCAACCCTGGGACCCCAGGGCGTCCACTGATCTTTGCTGTGGGAACGTCACGCTGTCCACAGCAGAACCACCGAAGCCCAAGAAACCGCCCAGGGCACCCTGGAGGCAAGCAGGGCGCCTCTTGGCGTGGGCTTCTACTGCCAGAGGTCTCGGAAACGTCTCCTCCTCCTCCTCCTCAGCCTCCGCTTCCTCCTCCTCCTCTTCCTCCTCCTCCTCCTCCTCCTCCTCCTCCTCGTCCTTCTTGGCATGGGCCTCCACTGCAGGACCCGCCGCCGACGCCCCTCGACCCTCTGTCGCCGATCCCCGGCCATCGGCCGCCTCGGCGAGGGCCCGCGGCGCCCGGGTTGCGCACCCCTGCGGAGGGCGCCCCCCGCGGCTCCGCCCCCCCCCGCTTACCAGCCCGGAACATATCCCCATCCCCATGCTGGGCACCTCCTCATCACGACGTCAATCTTAGGGATTCTCTTATTTTTGTGTGGGCGAGAATCCCTAAGATTGGCATCGCCTTTGGGCGTGTCAACCTTAGGGGTAGGGATACGTTCGAGGCTGGTGACCACCCCCAGGCGGGCCCGCGGCACAGGAGCCCGCAGCTGGTGCCCCGAGGCAGCTTCTCCTCAGGAGGGAGCCTCTGCCACGGATGGAGGAGGATGAGGAGGAAGAGGAGGAGGAGGAGGAGGATCCTCAAGGAGGGATCCTCTGCCCCCGATATGGAGGCAAAAGCCCCCCCAGCTGTGCCGGTGCTGGCGTCCCTCTCAAAGGCCTCCGAGAAGCAGGGCACGACGGGCGGAGGGCGCGAGGGGAGGCGCGGGGCGGCGGCCCGCGGGGGGCGAGGGAGCCGCGCGCGGGCCACGAACGTCTGCGCTCGTCGGGAGGTCTTCGGCAGGAAGATTCGGGGATGGACAGACCCCCCTTTAGCAAAACGTGGTTTAGTGAAAGCGACCTGAGGCCCAAACCTGGCGGGCGCAAGCCTGGAAAATGACGGCCACGCCGCCCTCTCGAGAACCGAAAACAGACAATTCACTAATCGACGTGTCACTGTTGGGGTTCTGTCCACCCCCGAACGATTTAAGGGCTGGCGGGTCCGACTAACGAGCGATTGCTCCAGAGGGGCCCGCTTCCACCCGGGGGCTACGCCTGATCGAGTGGGATGGCGCGGGACTCGACGGGATTGCGCGGGACTGTGCCAAACGAGGCCGAATTTCGACCACGGATATGCCGAATCCAATTTTCCAGTCGGCAGCCACGGGGGGATTTGATACCCCAGCGTCGACTGGACCCGCAGGGGAACGGTTCGCAAGTAGTCCCAGAAAGGAAGAGAGAGAGAGAGAGAGACAGACAGACAGACAGACAGACAGACAGACAGACAGACAGACAGACAGACAGACAGACAGACAGACAGAGAGAGAGAGAGAGACAAAGGGAGCGAGAGAGAGAGAGAGAGACAAAGGGAGCGAGAGAGAGAGAGAGAGGAAGAGAGAGAGAGAGAGAAAGAGAGGGAGAGGGAGCGAGAGAGAGAGAGAGAAAGAGAGAGAAAGAGAGAAAGAGAGAGAGAGAGAAAGAAAGAGGTAAAGAGAGAGAGTGTGACCGTGCGTGTCACTCGGCGCTCTGGTCTGGACCGCCGGTCTGGTGACGTCACTCGGCGCTCGCCGCGGCACTTCTTCCCCGTGCCACCGGACAAAAGCTTTCAAAACTGTCGGTGCGGGCTGGTGCGAACGGCGGCCGGGGTCTGCCTGGGTTGCCTCCGCAGGCCCGTGGAGGCGCCAGAGGACGGCCAGGAGGGCCCAGGAGGCCTTCCGGGCCCGAACAGGCCCCCCCCCGCCCAGCAGCCAGAGACGGCCTGAGATGTCCCCGAGACATGGAAAACGCAAGACACAGTGGTGCGTGCGTGCGTGTGTGTGTGTGTGTGTGTGTGTGTGTGTGTGGCTGGTTGTGGCGCGTGTGTGTTTGTGCGTGTGCGTGTGCGTGTTCGTGTGCGTGTGCGTGTGCGTGTGCGTGTGCGTGTGTGTGTGTGTGTGTGTGCGTGTGTGTGCGTGTGTGTGTGTGTGTGTGTGTGTGTGTGTGTGTGTGTGTGTGTGCTCGCCGGACCCGCGACAAACAGTGTGCGTTTTGGGTCCTGCTCTTATTGTTCGCTCAGCAACGAATGGATGCTGTCGGCCTCGACTTAAGATAGATCTAGCCGCTCTTTTTATGGTCTCACTTTCGCGGCTCGTTTGTGAGGGTCTTCCTCTGGGGTCGCTTTCGCTTCCGACCACCGTCGTCAACGCAAGTTAGCAATTCCAAGGCTGCCCCGAGATGTACAAAAAAACACCCATACCGCTACCTCACGCACCTCTCCTGAAGCGCGTTCTGACCAGGATTTTTCGAGGCGAGTCCAGCCGTGGTGACGAGGGAAGGGCAACGGCATCGGTAACCATCCTTCCCCCCTCTTGACAAGAATGCCCCGGTAGGCTCTGGGGGGGCCTCAGGATAGCCTTAATCAAGTCCATGCTGCGGGGCCCATAGATATACACCACTGCTGGGCGGGCGGTATGCCCTCGGGGGGTCTCAAGATAGCCTCAATCGAGTCCATGCTGCGAGGCCCATAGATATACACCACTGCTGGGCGGGCGGCCATAGACGAGGCACAGATCATGCGCGCCTGCGCAGAGGTCGCCGCGGGCTTTCCGATCACCCATGTGCGCAGGCAGGCGCCGCAATCAGCCGAGAACGGGCGTGTGCGGTCAACCAACCTGATGATTACATCGTGGAGTCAACCAGTCGGAACCCTCAACCGGTCGACCAGTCTAATGATTACATCGCGGAGCCGACCAGCCGACCAGTCTAATGATTACATCGCGGGGTCGACCAGCCTAATGATTACATCGCGGAGTCGACCGGTCGACCAGTCTAATGATTCCGTCGCGGGGTCGACCAGCCTACTGATTACATCGCGGAGTCGACCAGCCGACCAGTCTAATGATTACATCGCGGGGTCGACCAGCCTAATGATTACATCGCGGAGTCGACCGGTCGACCAGTCTAATGATTACGTCGCGGGGTCGACCAGTCTAATGATTACATCGCGGAGTCGACCAGCCGACCAGTCTAATGAGTACATCGCGGGGTCGACCAGCCTACTGATTACATCGCGGAGTCGACCGGTCGACCAGTCTAATGATTACATCGCGGGGTCGACCAGTCTAATGATTACATCGCGGAGTCAGCCAGTCGACCAGTCTAATGAGTACATCGCGGGGTCGACCAGCCTACTGATTACATCGCGGAGTCGACCAGCCGACCAGTCTAATGATTACATCGCGGGGTCGACCAGCCTAATGATTACATCGCGGAGTCGACCGGTCGACCAGTCTAATGATTCCGTCGCGGGGTCGACCAGCCTACTGATTACATCGCGGAGTCGACCAGCCGACCAGTCTAATGATTACATCGCGGGGTCGACCAGCCTAATGATTACATCGCGGAGTCGACCAGCCGACCAGTCTAATGATTACATCGCGGGGTCGACCAGCCTAATGATTACATCGCGGAGTCAGCCAGTCGACCAGTCTAATGATTAACTCGCGCACGTGCGGTCGACCAGCCGAAACCCTCAACCAGCAAACGCCTTACCCTCCCCCGCCGGCCTCCGCCGGCCTTCTCGCCGGCCTGCCGCCGACGGCGTCGGCCTCGTCTTCCTTCCGCCGCCTTTCCCCGCCCTTCCGCCGCGTTCCGCCGAGGCAGAAGTAACAACTCCTTCGATCCTCGACGACGAACGTCTCACCTGTGAAAAACGATCGGCCCCAACCCCCAGAAAGACTGGACGGCCAGGATCTCTGGCTTGGCGTGTCGCGCTCCGCTGGTTCTGGCCCCGACACGCTCCGGCGCAGGACGCTGTCCACGTCCCCATCTCCCAAGCGTCAGCGTCCCGAACTGTTCCCAGCCTTTCCCCCCGCGGAGCGGAGTGATACGATATCCGCTCGCAGGGCATAGCGTGTCGCTGGGACCGCCGCCGCGACGTGCTGAGCAAAACATCCAGACCGTATGCCCCAACCCCAAACATACATCCACTAATCGTGCCAAATATTCTGCATGTGAGCGCACGCCAAAAAGCAACAAGCATGTTGCGCAGACATCGTGCTTAGCGAGGTGCAACGCGTTCTGCGACCTAACGCCAAGACCGCCACCCTATCGACCTCAATGGCAGAACACAAGCCCGCGGTGATGTATATGTGGGCCCTGGGCCTGCCATGCAGGCCCTAGCTGGCCCCACGAGTAGGACACAGTAAGAGCATGAACAGAATGTTGAACATCCATTGACGAGCGGATATCGGAAGGTAGGCCGACGTTAGGATCAAATTCGTAGGACCTGCCGTGCTTTCAATCCTAAGTGTTCTTGCAAAGAGGCCCACAAAGGTGTCTGCCACTATTTTGGTCCTCACGTGGTGCCGCGAAGCGCTATGGATAAGATACTGATGAACGGCTGGAGTTGTAAAGACCTGCATGCCAACACAGCATTGCATGATCTGGCGATGCAGCTCGATGCAGTTGTGATGGCAACGCGGTGCTGTGCAATCGCACAACGCACGCTCAATCCCAAACATACAAGGAAAATGCCACAAATCATTTCATTGAAGTGATCCCGGGCGCTCATATGAGTTCGAACGCTAATATCCAGAAGAAGCATGGCTCCGGCCGCTACAGGGATGACGGAGGCGGCAGTAAGCCCAACCCACAGAAGTGATGTTGAAGACTTGTGCAAAAAAACAAAATACGACAACGAGAATATGAAACCGGACACTCCGCTAGCGACAAACAGCTGCCAAGCGCGCCATAACGTGGAAATGTAGACGATGACAAAATTTGAACTGCCGTTCATGCACAAAGATACGTACCTGTTCCAAAAAGACTCTCGCTTCACGCCATGAATCGTCACCGGCGTGCAAACCATCCCGAGAAAGAGAGTCGTATTGAATGGCATATAGAACCCCGACGGGCACTCGGGCGCGGTGTCTTCAAATGGACAATCAGCAACACACGCTGCAGCAGTTTTTCTGCTTGAGCCATCCACGCAGTAATGGAGAAACGGGCGACCTGAGTTGTTGCTGCGAGCGCTCCCACAAAGGTGTCCATCGGAGTCTGCAAGCCACGAGGATGATGCCAGGGGTTCCAGGAATGATGATGCTCCATGCAATTGTGACACGAGTCGCAGTGCCAAGAAAGAAAGAAAGAGCACTGCCCAACCACAATCAGTACATCGGTAATCGACATTAGGGCCAGCGGTGAACTCCTGGCTTTCCGAATCTGAAGTCTCCTGCTCGGTCTCAACACCTTCGTCATCCCAAAACGGCTCGAATGGCGAGCTGCGCCCCTCACTCCCCTTGGAAATCATTGGTCCCAAGGACCGAACAGCTAGAGGGAAGGGCTGGCGCGGCGCAAGCAGGGCACGTGACCCAGATGTTACGCTTCGAGCCCAACGTGTGACGGGATCATCTCATAGGTAGTATCGAAGATTTCTGCGCACCTGCATCCACAACAAAGCTCCAACGGGACGCCTGATGGGAATAGATGGTTGTGATTCGGCACGCCCTCCGCCATCACCACCCATCCCTCCTCATCCCACCGTGATGCCGACCGCAACCACCGCTGTTGCAATGCCATCACCATTCGCGGTAGCAGCGCTTGCCTCCTGCGTGCAGGTTCGCTTCAAGTTGGACATGAGGGAGACAGCCACCGAGGGAACACAAAGCTGAGGAATAGGACAATGACGAGGAAGCGCCAAAGGAGTAGCAGGAGAGGGAGGGAAACGACTTCATCCCATCAACCCTCGGGGCAAAGGCAGTGCTGCAGATCGCGCATGTCGTCCCGTGGTTTCCCCGTCAGGGAAGGGGTTCGCGCGAGGAGCTGGCACACACTCCAACCCCCTGTCGAAGACGCGTGCACTTTTTTGATCGCGAGCGCAAGCGGAAGGGCCGCGCGCCGTCCAGAGCTTCAGCTAACCAGCAGGAGCCTAAGTTGCACTCGAGAAAGAGGAAAAGAGAGACAACCAGAGGAGGAGGAGGAGGAGGAGGAGGAGGAGGAGGAGGAGGAGGAGGAGGAGGAGGAGGAGAAAGGAGGGGGAGGAGGAGGAGGAGGAGGAGGAGGAGGAGGAGGAGGAGGAGGAGAAGGAGGAGGAGGAGAAGGAGGAGGGGAGGAGGGGGAGGAGGAGGAGGAGGAGGAGGAGGAGGAGGAGGAGGAGGAGGAGGAGAAGGAGGAGGAGGAGGAGGAGGGGAAGGAGGGGGAGGAGAAGGAGGGGATGAGGAAGGAGGGGAGGAGGGGGAGGAGGAGGAGGGGGAGGAGGAGGAGGGAGGAGGAGGAGGAGGAGGAGGAGGAGGAGGAGGAGGGGAAGGAGGAGGAGGAGGAGAAGGAGGAGGAGGAGGTGTTGCGAGGGCCAGGAGGAGGAGGAGGAGGAAGGAGGAGGAGGAGGAGAAGGAGGAGGAGGAGGTGTTGCGAACACTGCGGCCACGGGCGCCCCCCCCCAACCATCAACTTGCAGTGGTGCGCTGCACGGGACGGTGGGGGCGCACGGCGTGGGTGCGAGCCTCTGCTCCGCCGCGGGCTGCTGGACCGCGCCCGCCGTGCATCGGCGCATGCTGACCGCGGGCGCGCACTCCTCACGCCGTGCTGGCCACCCGCCGTCACCTCTCGTGCGCGCCTGCAAGGATGGCGGGGCTGTCCGCATACGCGCTGCCATGGTGCACTGGCGCGCCCGGCATGGTCGGCACACGTCGCGCACGCGGCGCACCTGGCGCGCGGAGTCCATGGCGAGCACGGCGCACCACGCGCGCCTGCCATGCTCGGGTGCCAGGGACGACTGGCTCACCAAGTGCGCGTGGTGCACCTGGCACGCGCGGCGCACTTCGAGAGCACGGCGCACCTGGCGTTTGTGTTGGCTCACGATGTCTGTTCCCCTCGGGTGGCAACCATCGCATGCGATGTGACAGCACGCCCTCACGCGGTAGCTTACGCGGGCCGCCAGCGCGGCACGCCATATTGGAAACGAGGGGGCGCACGCGCATCTTTACGCGGGTAGCTTGCGCGCCATTGTGCGTGCAGATGACTCGCATTTTGCGCCGCTCACGTGAGAATGAATGAGCGGAACAACTTATGCCGAGTGCGCGGAGAAGTTGGCCCCTCCCCAATACCGTCTCCCCTGGGTCTGAATGGGGCGGGGGTTGCAAGCGGTCAGAGCGTCCACGATGATCCGTGACGGCTCCAAGATGGCCCCAGCTTGTAGCCTCAAAGATGGCGCAACGTAGTCCAAATTGGTGCAAGATGGCCTCGATCGAGATCGCCACCAGACGGCTCAATGTGTCCGCGGAGCCTCCCCATGATGCCTCCGAGAGGCCACGCTCCTTCCAAAACCGCAGATTGTTGGATGAGTGTGGGATTCTCGCGCTTTCGCTTCAGACAGGCTTCTGATGCACCAAAATGCCCCCAACATGTCCGAGAACAGCCCCAAGAGCGGCCCAGAAGGGCTCGAGGGTTACCCCAAAGGCACCTCAGAGTACCCCAAGAGCGTCCCAAGGAGGCCCTTACGCAGCATCTTCTACTTGCTGATCGATTGTCCCCCAGAGTGCCCCCAAGGGCCAAGGGGGCCCCCGCGAGAGCATGGACGCCCTCTCATTCCCCGCAAGGGAACCACATAATAAGCCGATGACGCCTCCCAGATGCTCTCTCCTAGCTTCCCGCGGGAGAGCTCGCGAAGGTCTTTTTCCGGTTGACCCACGACTTCTTCGCGCCTCTCCGCGGTCACGGAGCACCCAGCAATCGAGGCTGTGAAAGGCCTTCGTGGCACCCCCATTGGGAGACCCTCCTCGAGAAGGTACGAAGGCTGACGCGAAGGGGCTGGGGCGCCCGCCTCTCCGCCTGGTGTCGCTGCATGCTCCCGCGCGCCCCCGATCGAGGCAGCTCGCTCGATCGGAGCAGGCTCCGAACGGGCCGGCGGGACACTTGTTTTTTACCAGCGTGCAGGAGCCCAGTGGCAAGGCGGGGACAAAGAGAAGGGGGAGGAGGGGCGGGAGGGAACGACAGCGGCCGAAGTCAGGGGCGCCCGGCCGCTCTTGCAGACCAGCCCGCAGGGTCGGGAGCGGCCAAGAGGGGGGTGTCCAAGAGGGGGGGGTGCAAATCATGACCAGCGGCATGTGCGCGGCCCAGCGGGGGGGCCTGGGACGTAATGAAATAAGAAGAGGCGCCATGAAATCTGAGGAAAAATCATGGCCCGCGCCATGAAATCCACCCCCCCCTAGTCATCACCCCCCTCTTTTCCGCCCCCGACAAGGCCGCGCGCCACTCGGCGTCGCGGCCGGGCCGGCGGGACGCGCGCGGCGCCAGTCCTGCGAGCAGCCCGGCCGCTCGACGCCAGATCCCGGGCCGACCTCTCTCCGGCAGCACTGCTGCAGGAGCGGCCCTGCGCGCAGCAGGCGGTACCCCCCTTCGGTAGGCGGCGCGCCTGGGGGGGAAGTGAGAAGGGGCGGGCCTTCTCAGGAGGCTCGGAAGGCCCCCAGCCTTCGGAGAAGTGTTCGAAGCTTTCCCCGAAGACACAGCAAACTTCTCAGAAGGCGCGAGGGCTTCTGAGAAGTCCTGCCGCCTTCTGACAAGGTCTTCTCCTCCTCAAGTCCCCCCCCTGGCTCGCCGCCGATTCGAGGGATCCCCGCCCCGCGGCCGCGGGGCGAGGCGGGATCCCCGCCCCCTGGGGGGGGCCGGGCGGCCGCGGCCTGCAGCCCGTCACTCCTCCAAGGCGCGAGGCGGGACGGGCCTCCGGGGAGCGTCGGGGCCCCGCGGGGCCCCGACGGCGGCGGCGGGCGTGCGAGGCGGGTCGGGGGCCGTGCAGCACGAGAGGGGCCCTGGGACACACAGGTAAAGGACCACAGATCCCACGGCTCCCCCACGCTTTCCCGTGTCTTCTGGGTGTTCGTCTTCCCCCCCCCCTCTTCCCATGTTCTCCTGGGAGTCGACGGCTTGTTGTGTCTGCGTGGTGCTTCCCCTCCTGGAGAACAGAGTGCAGCAGCCCCACCCTGTCGGGCGGGGAGCGCTGGCTGCCTCGGGATCTCGCGAGGCCTGCACCCCTTTACAGCCGGACACGGGACAGAGCAGCATCTTTCGAGAACACGAGACCCTTCGCTGGCCCAAGCTGGAGCAGCTTCGCGGGCACCTTCCCCCAGCGTGCACCAAAACAACGGACGGACACGAAGATCGGGAGCGGCCAAGAGGGGGGTGTCCAAGAGGGGGGGGTGCAACATGTGCGCGGCCCGGCGGCGGGGCCAGGGACGTACTGAAATAAGAAGGGGCGCCATGAAATCTGGGGAAATGTCATGGCCCCGCCATGATATCCCCCCCCCCCTAGTCATCACCCCCCTCTTTTCCGCCCCCGAGAAGAACAGGGTACTTATCCTACCCGAACCGACCTCGCCCTTCGACCTCGGTCCGACTCTGTACCCCCCAGCGCCTCCCCACGCCGGGGCCACCTGCGCTCCGCGGCGAGCCAAGCGGGGGGCCCACGGCGAGAAGGGGGCGCCCCCCCCCCCCCCCCCGGAACTTGCTCCGTCGCCGGTGGGGCAGGGGCAGTCCGCACCCGCGCGGGGCCCGTCGGGGCCGCCGAAAGGCGAACTAACTGCCCGGCGTGCGGGGGGGGGGGGGGGGGGGCCCTTCGCGAGAGCGCAAAGGAGGGCCCCTCGGGACGCCTCGGCCCCACCTTTCGGGGGCCTCCGAGGAGGCCCCCGGGAGGGCGGGCGCGCCCCCCCCCCCACCCCCACCCCCACCCCAACCACCCACACACACACACACACGCACACCCACACACCACACACCACACACCACACACCACACACCCACACACCACCCACCACCCACACACACCCAAAACAAAAACAAACAAAAAACGGGGGCGCTCTCGCAGGGGGGCCGCGCCCCCCTCGCGCCCGCCCTGCATGCTGCCTGCGCGCCGCGCCCGGGCATCCCCGCCCCGGCGCTTCCCGCTTCATGTCCGCCAGGATGCTGAGCGTGTCCCTCGGCGACACCGCCGTGTAGCCTCGCGGCGACGCCGCGCGGGGGCGGAGGCCCGAGGCGGCGGCGACCGACCCCGCGCGGGGAGGGCGGAGCCCTCCCTGCGCTCGCCGCGTCGAGGCCGGTCCTGGGCGCTCCCAGAGATCCCTCTGGGGACGGCCTCGGGGCGGCCCGGAGGTGATCGCGCGGGGGAGGGGTGGCCCAAGGGGAGGGCGGGGCACACGGGAGGCCAGGGGGAGGGAGCAGGAGCAGGGGGAGGGCGGGAAGGCAGAGGGAAAACTGAGAGAGGCAGAGAGAGAGAGAGAGAGAGCGAGAGAGAGAGCGGTGGGGGGGGAGGGCGCAGAGCAGGGTGAAGGGGTGGGAGGGCTTCGGGAGGGCAGGGGGAGGGGACTGCGAAGGAGGGTGCCTGAGAAGCTGGTGTGGCACCGCCTCCTGGGCCTCGTGTGGATCGAGCCGAGGCGCATGCCCAGCAGCCGCAGCTCAAGCAGCGGGGGCGTGGGCAGCAGAGGGATGCGAAGCTGGAAGAGATGACGAGGAGGGGGGGGGGCACGGCAGATCTGAGGGGCGGAGATGGCGAGCAAACATCAAAAAAACCTCACTGCGCAAATGCTGACGTCTCACTCGTACCTCCGCCGCCTTCCGCCGAGCCGAGAAATCTGCGTGAGGGTGGGATGAGGAGGAGACGGCCCGGCGGGGGACTGGGCCTATGCGGGGCACCCACCCAAGCCGCACTGCGGTCTCGTCAGGAGCCCGGCCACGGACTCTTGGCCTGGGGCCTCGCACGGCACGCACCGGTGCTCTGGTTCGTTTGTGTGTGTGCGCGTGTATGTAAGTGATTCTTGAGGGCTCTGCCGCGACCACGCGTTAGTGCTTCTCCTTATTTCGCCTCGTCGCCGCGCGCGAGGCTGCCACTGCCTAAAAATGTGCGCGTGAGTGTGTGTGTGTGTGTATATATATACATTTGTGTGTGTGTGTGTTTGTGTCTTCGTGTGTTCGTGCTACAGAACCAGCTCTGCCCAATTGCCGGACCACAGACCGCCAGGGCGCAGATGACAGTCAACAGCGCTGGGCGACAGCAAGAGGCGGGCGGCGCGAGCCTAGAGAGACCGTGCTGCGGAACTTGTGCTCCAGATTCTGCCGCGGCGCCTGCCCCATCCCGCTCGAACCCTCCCGAACCCATTTTGCTAGATCCGTCGGCCCTCTCCGCTCAACCCCGCCCCTCGCCCCCCTTCCACTCCCCAGAGACACAGCACAGACTGCAGAGATCTAGGAACTGGCCATCGCTCGGACGTCCAGTCCCTGTGTTTTTTGTTCGGTTTCGCGCGTGGCTTTTTCGCCAAGTGATCAAGGATGCTCCTCGATGGTCCCCGCCGAAGAGAAAATGCACACGTCCGAGCGATGCCAAGGGAAGTGTCGAAGAGATCGGGGCAGACTTCTTGGCTCGGCGCTGGGCCCCCCCGGCAGCGCCCCCGGCGCCGCCCCTGAGCGCGCTTCGCGCGCGCCCGCGAGGGAGGCCCGGCGCCGATCCAAGACATCCCCGCGCGGGCCTCCGTTTCTCTGGGCTCCCGGGCACCCCTGCCGCCGACCCCTCCCCTGGGAGGCTTCATGTTTGGACGCCCGAAATGGGTACGGAAAAAAAGGTACAATGCCCAACAACAACTGTTGTCCCAAACCAGCAGCGGCCGCTGGTGGGCAGGCGGCCTTCTGTCTCGAATGGACACAGGCCGCGGCGGCGTGGACAGCGAATCCTGCTCAAAATGAACAGGAACTGCTGTTGGGCATTGTGCCCATTCTCTCCGTGCCCATTTCGGGCGTCCAGATCATGGGCGTCTCTGGAGGGCCTCTGCGACGACGGCCCGACGCGGCCCGGAAGCCTGGCCACGATGGGCCCCGGGACGGGACCGAGGGCCTGGGGGGGCGAGGGGAGCCTCTTAGAGAGGATAATGGGTTCGCCTTGCTCGTGGTCCCCGCAAATGCGGCACGAGCTCTCCTCCGACGTACTCTTGGGCCGCAGCCGAGCACGAGGGTGGGGCGAGGGGAGCCTCTGAGAGAGGATAATGGGTTCGCCTTGCTCGTGGTCCCCACAAATGCTGCACGAGCTCTCCTCCGACGTACTCTTGGGCCGCAGGGGCTCGTCGCCCAGCGCCCATGTCCATTATCCTCCTCCTCGTCCTCGTCCTCGTGTTCCTCCTCCTCCTCCTCCTCCTCCTCCTCCTCCTCCTCCTCCTCTTGCTTCTCCTCCCTTGACGGATTTCGATGGTTATGTACCAAATATGTGTTCTGGAAGGACTCAAGATTGTGAGGGCGCAACAATTACATTGTGATTCGCGGTGTTGAAGCCCCAGCAATGACATGCTGGCACGATTTCAGGACCGTCAAGACGCAACAATCATATTAATTATTGGCGATGGAGTCCCAGGAATGATGTTTTGGTACGCTTCAGGGTCTTCAAACGGTTATCTCCCAAAGAAGAAGTTCCCCCAGCGGAAATAATCCTTGTAGGCGCCTGTGAAGAGGGAGCTTGGTCGGAGGCTGTATTCCAGCATCGTTGATGATTATTGGGTTTACACTTGCCCTCTTCCTCCTCCTCCTCCTCCTCCTCCTCATAATCACCAACATCATCAGTGTCATCGTCATCGTCATCGTCATCGTCGTCATCATCATCATCAACATCACCATCACCATCATCATAATCATCATCAGCATCATCAGCATCATCATCATCATCGTCACCAGCATCATCATTATCAGCATCAGCATCATCAGCACCATCACCATCACCATCATCACCACCACCATCATCAGCATAATCATCGCAAGCATCAGCATCATCAGCATCATCGGCATCATGATCATCATCACCATCACCATCGCCATCACCATCGCCATCACCATCGCCATCACCATCACCATCATCATCACCCTCATCCTCATCCTCATCCTCATCCTCATCATAATCCTCAGCATGAGCATGAGCATGAGCATGAGCATGAGCATGAGCATGAGCACCACCACCATCATCATCATCATCACCATCACCATCACCATCACCATCACCATCACCATCATCATCATCAGCATCAGCATCAGCATCAGCATCAGCATCAGCATCAGCATCAGCATCAGCATCAGCATCAGCATCAGCATCAGCATCATCATCATCATCATCATCATCATCATCATCATCATCATCATCATCATCATCATCATCATCATCATCCGCGTCCAGCTCACATCGCCCCTGTCTATGGGGAATGGGGAATCACAAAGATACCCATACCGCCACTTCCCGCACGATTGGACACGAATTTGGGAGAATCCAGCCGCGGCGGCAAGGGGCATCTACAGAACGAGCAGCGGCATCGGCATCTGCTCCTCCTCTGAATCCAGGGGTCTCCGAGGCTCCTGGTGAGGCAAGGATAAAAGGGGCCCCAGGACACACAAACAAATACACACAAATAAAAAGATGCCCCATACTTTCCCCTATTTTCTGGGTTCCTGTCTTCCCCCCCACTTCCCATATTCTCCCATCTTTCCTTGGGAATCGACGATTCATTGTGTCGGTGTGTGTGTCTTTTCCCCCTGAAAGGAGGGGAGGCGGGGCAGGGGCCTCGAGGCGGCCCCTCCAGCCCGGGCGCGGCCTGGGCTCCACAGCATCCAGCCGAGACAGGAAAGCCCGCCGCTCAGCGCCGCATGCGTGAGGCCATGGGCCTGCTGCGCATGCCAGGCCTGGCGCCACCCCCCTCGGGTCGGGCGAAAGGGGGGGATAGCAAAGGGGGGGTTTGAGAATCAGCTCACGTAGCTGATTTCCCCGGCGACTCCCGCCGCCGGAGGCGGCCATGCATCGAGGAATGGGCCCCTCGGTGAGGCCGAAACCAGCTGCATGCAGCAAATGTCGTCACCCCCCCTTTCCCAATCCCCCCCTTTCGCTCGGCCCGACCCCCGACGTCCGATGCAGAAACTCGTGCTAGAGCCGCGGGCCCGGCCAGGATCGCCCCCTTCCCTGGGGAAAAAGTGTTTCGTTCTGGCCAGGTCTCGAGGCGCGAAGCACGGCCCGGCAGGCCGACATGGATGAGCAGAGCTGGGCCCTGAAAGCACCACGACGCCGAGGAGAGGTCTGGGCCACTGCGCCGTGGCTGGGGAATGCTGGCAGGAACTTCGATGGAAAGTCCGGCCGTGGTGACGAGAGGGCCCTGGGTGGCCCAACAAGGGCGAACAAACATAGAAGCCAATACCTCCAAGGGCCCCCTTTTTCTCCTTTTCGCCTTGCCCCATCTCCGTCCCCCTTCTCCGCCTCTTCCTCTTCTTCCTCCTTCTCCTCCTCCTCCTCCTCCTTTTCCTCTTCCTCCCTCCTCCCTCCTCCCCCTCCTTTTCTGCTTCTCCTCCTCCTCCTCCTCCTCATCCCCCTCCTTTTCTCTTTTTTCTCCTCCTCCTTCTCCTCATCCTCCTACAATTACACAATATGAATACTACTCTCCTCTCACCCCTGATGACGTCCGGAAGATGTCTGGCCCCCCTCCGCGTGATGTCTGCTTACACACAAGAATCCCGGGAATTTGGTTTTCGCTGAGTTTTGTTTCACAATGCTGCTCCCACTGAAACGCTGGCCTCATTTTCGGGCTTCCGCTCGGTCCGAATCGCGCTCCCGCTGCATTGCTGGCCTCGTTTCCGCGCTTCTGCTCGTTCCGAATCGTGATTCCGCTGCAGCGCTGGCCTCATTTCCGCGTTTCCGCTCGTTCCGAATCGTGCTCCCGCTGCAACACTGGCGTCATTATTCCCAATGCCATGCCACTGCATGCAATGCAATGTTATGTGGTGTTCCGCTGCGCGATACCATGCGTTCATCTGCAATGCTAGGATATGCAGTGCTTGATTACGCTTTGCCCTTCTATGCTTTGATCTTCAACGCCATGCTATGCCATGTTCTGTTTTGTGCCGCTGTGCGATGTCATTCTTTGCGGTGCAATGCTTTGTGATGGAATTATTCACTACGGAACGCCACACCATATTATGGCATACTACGCTCTGTCGTGCTCTTCTACGTCCTGCTATGCCGTGCTCTACGATGGATCGCGCACCCTCTCGGGATCATTGCCCTGCTCGACATCCGACTGTGCGAATAGAGAGGTGACCCACGCCCTGGTAAGCGATGGGAGGGTGGGGCAGGACGTCAGATATGACGCGAGCGCACCTAGCTGGCATCGATTCGCAATTGGGCGGCGAGCGAGGCGGGGAAAAGCGAGGGGGAGAATGCCTTCTCAGAAGGCGGCGGGGCTTCTCAGAAGCCCTCTGGCCTTCCGAGAAGTCTTCTGTGTCTTCGGGGGAGACTCAGAAAACGTCTCAGAAAGACAAGGGACTTCCGAGCCTTCTGAGAGGGCCCGCCCCGTCTCACTCCCCCCCCTTTCGCTCACCGCCGAATTGCGAATCGATGCTGGCCGACGCTTTTCAATCGGCGCTACCGTGATGCTAAATCGACGCTCCATCGGCGCTCTCTCATCGATTACCAGACGCCAGGGCACGCTAATGCACCCCCAAAAGCAGGAGTTAGGAGGACACACAATTCTCCCATGATCTGCTGCCGCCCCCCCCCAGTGAGGGGCAACGACACAAGAGGGGGGAACCAGCTCAGGGGGGGAAGCATCGAGCTAGAATCGGCGATGCATCGCCGATACAGTCGGACTCGATTGGACAGGACACGCAAGGGGGCACAAGACCCTTCCGAGGGCCACATTGCCACAGGAAGGTAGGAAGCATGGGCCGCGAGACACAGGACACAAGGGTACCCCTGATTTGGCAGGGTCGACGTACTAATCCGGGCCGACTGTAGATCGGTGATAGGGGCCCCGATGCCGAAAAAACCCACGCTCCTCGGCGGGGTGGGGCTCTCGGGCCCCCTGTCGGCGATCAAAGCGACGATTGGGGCTCGACGCGTCCCCCTCCCCCCGAGCCCATCTCTCCTGCAGTGGTCCTCGTCGTCCGGTCTTCGGGTCATAGCTACATGCTCTCCGGAGGCCGTTCGAGACGACCCTGGCACCCCCGCAACGCCCCCGGCGAGGCGCAGTCGCCGGAAGGCGCCCCGAGGCTAGAATGCCGACCATGAACCCCACGAAGACGCCCGAAAACCTCGAATATCGAGCCTGCCCCTGAGCCCCCCCCCCCCCCCGATCGTTGCCCCCCGGCCCGCAGCCCCTCGTTCTCGGTGACATCTGGGGGCAGGTCGAGGTCGTCCTGCGGCCGGCGGTGCTGTCCCCTCCGCCGCGCCCGAGGGGGGCCGCAGGCCGCAGGGCCGAGGCGCGAGGCAGCGCAGGTCTGCAGCGGGCCGCTGCGGGGCCTCCTCCTCCTCCTCCTCCTCCTCCTCCTCCTCCTCCCTCCTCCTCCTCCTCCCTCCTCCTCCTCCTCCTCCTCCCCCTCCTCCCCTTCCTCCTCTCCTCGTCGTCGTCGTCTCCTCCTCCTCCCCTCCTCCTCCTCCTCCTCCTCCTCCTCCTCCTCCTCCTCCTCCTCCTCCACAATTACTCAATATGAAAATACTCTCCCACTTCCCCTGATGGCGTCCAGGTGATGGCCGCGCACCCTCCGCGTACTGTTTTTTTACACACAGGATTCCCGGGAAATCCCGGGAAACGACTCTCGCTGAGGCCCCGGCGTCATTTTTTCCCAAAATGCTGCTCTCGTTGAGGCGCTGGCCTCATTTCTGCTCCCGAATCGTTCCGACTCGTGCTCCCGCTGCAGCGTGGGCCTCATTTTCGGATCGGTGTTTGGCCTCCGTCGTTCAGGATGGCGTTCTCGCCCCAGCGCGGGCCTTTTTCTCGCGCGCCCATCCGCCCGCCACCACCGCGCCGCACCGCCACCACCACCACCACCACCACCACCACCACCACCACCACCACCAGTACCAACACCACCACCACCAGCACCACCACCACCACCCAGCCCACCACCACCACCACCACCACCACCACCACCACCACCACCACCACCACCACACCACCACCACCACCACCCACCACTACCACCACCACCACCACCACGACAACCACGCACACACGCACGCACGCACGCACGTGCACCACCACCCACTACGCACGCGCGCGCGGAGCCACAGGTCCGCTACGACACGCGTCCGCGGATAGAGAAAATCAGCGCCATGGTAAGGGATGGGAGGGAGGGGTAGGACGTCAGATATGACGCGAGCGCACCTAGCTTGTCCCCCTCCCCCTCCCCCTCCCCCTCCCCCCCCCCCTCCTCCTCCTCGTCGTCCTCCTCCTCCTCCTCCTCCTCCTCCTCCTCCTCCTCCTCCTCCTCCTCCTCCTCGTCCCCAAGGGCGCCTAGTTTTGCGCTTCGCGCTGCGCGAAGGGCGAAGCGCGAAGAACTTCGCGACCTCTCGCGCCGCTCCCCCGGGGGAGACGAGGAGGATAGATGGAGGCATCGGAGCCGAACCGCGAAGCGCGAAGAACCTCGCGCCCTCGAGGGCGCCCTTGGAGAAGCAGGGAGGGGAGGGGGAAGGAAGCGGGGGGGGGAGACGGCCGTCGACACTCGAGAAGCTGCGGTTCCCCAGCTTGCGACCGCACTCGAGTGGCGGCGGAGAGAGGGGGGTATGGGGCGAGGAAGGAGGCGAGAGAGGGACGGAGGAGGCGAGGGGCGAGGCAGGAGGAAGCAGGAGAGCTCAGAGATGGGGGGGAGCGAGAGGACGTGGAGGGAGCAGCGCAGGGAGGGAGGGGGACCGGACAGGGACCGGCACGGAGGGATCGGAACGGAGGGACGGGACAAGGTGGAGCGGGGGAGGGCGGGGCGCCTCAGGGGGCTCACCTTTCCCCCGTCCGAACAATCTCAACCTATCCACCGTCCAATATCCACAAGCCCATCTTGGATCCAAATCTAGGTTGACCTCCCCTCGCCACGGCTGGATCCCTGCCGTGTCAATGCGGACTCTGGCTTCTGCCTCCGCGTAGATCTTTGACTATTGAGCGATCCGCGTTATTCGGGAGCGTCCAAGGCGGGTGCGACCAGTAGGGGTGTTCGCAACGATCATGGGTGGACGCAGGTGCGCGGACGAAGGGGAGGGGGGACCAGGGGACGCATTGAAAAAAAAAGAGGGAGGGCCATGAAACCTGGGGAGATCTCCTGGCCCTGGAGATTGACACCCACCCACCCCCGTCGGCCGGGAACTTCTGCCGAGCGTGTCTCGGCCGCGGCCCCAGCGATGCGCGATGCCTTCCGAGTGGATGGCGCGTCGCTCCGTCCCGCTGGGCGGGAGCCTGTTGGACGCCCGAGTTATCCGGGGTAACTCGGGTTCGGGGTAACTCGGGTTTGGCTTCCCGAAAAACGAACCCGAGTTAACCCTGACCCGAATTACCCCTGATGATTCGGGGCTCTGGACACCCGAAATATCCGGGGTAACTCGGGTCCGGGGTAAGTCGGGTTCGGATTCCCGAAAAACGAACCCGAGTTAGCCCTGACCCGAGTTACCCCTGATGATTCGGGGCTCTGAGGAAAGGCTCGGGACTCCGCCGCCTGGAACTTGGCAAAATGGACACAACTTTCGCGCCAGAGTCGGCGGCGCGACGCGCTGAGCCGCAGTTCCTGACCCTGGCCCTCCCCTCTCGGCCGCCCCATGGGCTGCACGACAGCGGGGGAGGGGGATTGTCACGGCTGTCGTTTAAGGCATGGGTAATGTTTTACCGCTTCGTGCCCTAACAATTGTGGCATGCCATGTTCAATTCCAATTCCAAATCAAACACCAGAGGGGGAGGAGGAGGAGGAGGAGAAGGAGGAGGAGTAGGAGGAGGAGGAGGAGGGAGGAGGAGGACGAGGAGGAGGGAGGAGGAGGAGGAGGAGGAAGAGGAGGAGGGGGGAGGAGGGAGGAGGAGGAGAGGAGGAGGGAGGAGGAGGAGGAGAGAGGAGGAGGAGGGGAGGAGGAGGAGGAGGAGGCGAGGGGGAGGAGGAGGAGGAGGAGGAGGAGGGGTCGCTCGAGGTCTGCCTTGCTCGGGCCGGCGGCGGCGCGACACCTCGAGCGCCCGCGCGATGCAGCCGCCGCGCCGCTGCGCGGCGCAGGCCTGCCCGTGCCCGCCGAGAGCTCGGCCCCTGCCCGGGGGGGGGGGGCCACGGAGGCCCGGCGGTGGCTCGCGAGCGGCGAGCCCGTCTGTCCTGGCTGCCCTGGTGCGCAGCACGCCATCCGCCGCGTCTTGGGACGGAGCCCAACGCGGCGATTGACAGCGTGCGTGTGTGAACGGGGCCCGGGGCCACACAAATGAATCGGCACAAATAACAGGATTCCCCATATTTTCTAATATTTTCTGGGTGTTGGTCTTCCCCCCCCCCCACTTCCCATACTTTCCCATATTCTCCTGGGAGTCGACGACTAATTGTGTCTGTGTGTTTCTTTCCCTCCTGAGCTTGGCGCTCGCGCAGCCGCGGGCCAACACGTTGAGCGTGGAGCCAACACGCAACGTGTCAACACCGATCTTTTGAGCACGGCACGGGCTGCGGTTCAACACGGGCGTATCGGGGCAGCCAGGCTATCCGTGCCCGCGCCCTCGCGGCCTGGACGCCGTGACGAGATCCCGCGGACACGCGGCCGCACGGATGCGTTCCGCGCGGTGCATCCGGGAACCAAAACGCCCCGCGTCCGTGGGGTCGCGGCCCAGGGTCCCTGGCGGCGAGGCCGCGGGTACGGATATGTTTTTGGCCCACGAGTGGGCATCTCTCCCTTCGAGCTCTTACCGAGCGCGCTGGCTGGGGAAGAAGCACAACAACCAGCATGAACAGAACCTTTCGAAGGTCCGCGCGGACGTCTCGGACCTGCGCTGAACCCGCCTCCCTGGCGCGCGGAGCGCACCAGGGGCGGCACCAGAGGCGCCGCCAGGGACGTCCAGCGCAGATCCAAGGAATCCGCGCGGACCTCCGAACATTAAGATTGATGCTTTTGTTGCTCCAAGAAAAAAAAGGGGGAGGATCCGCGGGCATCGACCAGGAGAACTCGTACCCGTAGACCTCCACCGCGCTGTGGTACGGGCTGTACTGCATCCTTCGGCGCAGCGAGCGGGCCCACGGCCTCCGACGACCCGATCTTTCCGCACGTCTGGTCTTAGATCGGGCATGTCCCCCTGGAGGCGGATTTTGGAGGGAAAATGGAAATTGACAAAGCAACGCAAAACATATATATATATGTACATACATACATACATACATACATACATACATACATACATACATACATACATACATACATACATACATACATGCATACATACATACATACATACATACATACATACACACATACATACATACATACATACATACATACATACATACATACATGCAGGCATGCAGGCATGCATGCATACATACATACATACATACATAAATATATATACAAGTATATATATATATATATACAAGTGGCACGTGTGTGCCCAGGCTCATACAAGAAGCTGAAGGGGCGTTTGAAGCATGAGTGACATGCAACAGCGAAGTCGCACTCGAGCGCAAGTGGGGTTGCCACACCTTGCGATGTGTGTACCAGGGCCCCCCAGGAAGCCTCAGGAGGCCCGACTTGGATACCAGAAGAGGCTCCAGGAGGCCCCAGGATTGTGAGTGTTGTGTGTGTGTGATGTGTGCTTTGTGTGGTGCGTGCTTTTTGTGTGTTGTCGGTGTTGTGTGTGTGTGTGTGTGTATGTTATGTTTGTCTAGCGTGTGATGTGTTGGGCGTGATTTGTGTCTCTGTGTGTGCATGTAGTTCTGAAGCCCCAGGAGGCCCCAGGAGGCCCCAGGCGGCCTCAGCAGGCCCAGGAGAACTCCAGGAGGCTCCGAGGCGGGGTCTGGGGTACCAGAAGGTCCAGAAAGTCCCAGGAGGCCCCAGGAGGTTCCAGGAGGCCCCCAGGAGGCTCCGAGGAGGGGTCTGGGGCTCGATTTTGGGAGGATTTGTCATGCGAAACCGCCATTCTCTTAGAATCGGGGACAGAATTATATATATATATATATATGTATATTCTCATACGCACCTCTCAACGGGAATTTCAACATTTTAACATAAAACCTTCAAAAACACATGGTAATTTCAATAATTCTGACCCCGATTCTCAGAGAATGGCGGTTTCGCATGAAACATCCTCCCAAAATCGAGCCCCAGACCCCTCCTCGGAGCCTCCTGGGGGCCTCCTGGAACCTCCTGGGGCTTCCTGGGGCTTTCTGGACCTTCTGGTACCCCAGACCCCGCCTCGGAGCCTCCTGGAGTTCTCCTGGGCCTGCTGAGGCCGCCTGGGGCCTCCTGGGGCCTCCTGGGGCTTCAGAACTACATGCACACACAGAGACACAAATCACGCCCAACACATCACACGCTAGACAAACATAACATACACACACAACACCGACAACACACAAAAAGCACGCACCACACAAAGCACACATCACACACACACACACAACACTCACAATCCTGGGGCCTCCTGGAGCCTCTTCTGGTATCCAAGTCGGGCCTCCTGAGGCTTCCTGGGGGGCCCTGGTACACACATCGCAAGGTGTGGCAACCCCACTTGCGCTCGAGTGCGACTTCGCTGTTGCATGTCACTCCTGCTTCAAACGCCCCTTCAGCTTGTTGTATGAGCCTGGGCACACACGTGCCACTTGTAAACTATACAAAAATTGAAAACATCGTTGCCTTGACAATTTTTCTACTATTTTTGCCTTTCCCTCCTGTAGGGGGGCACGCCCGCCTTACCTCTGGTCCCTGGGCCTCTCGACCCCTGCCCGGGCCACGGTGCTTCCGCCCCCCCCCCTGTGGGCGCCGTGTGTGCGATCACACCCGCGGCACGCTCGCAAGGACCGGATCGCATGCATACCCCTACATAGGTCTTGAACCTGTGATCCTGGAGCATCGCAGGTGGAGTGCAGAACGACCTGGGCCTCTCGACCTCTGCCCGGGCACCGGTGCTTCCGCCCCGCCCCTGGGCTCCGTGTGCGATCGTACCTGTGGCACGCTCGACCCCCCATGTTGGGAGCCCCCGAACCAGGTGGTGATAGGGGGCCACGTGCGAACCCTACCCCTACCCCCCACGATTTCTGAGGGGGAGGGTGGGGTTCACTTCGCCTGGTGACCTGGAGTCCCCAAAAAGTCACCCCCGGGTTTCGGGACACGGGCAACCCGCCGGGTCTTTGTGACTCCAGGGCCCACCAGCGTTCGGGACATCCCCGAACAAGCGCATGAGTCCCCAAACCGGGTGGTGACACAAAATCGCCCGAGACTCACCGCCAGGTGTTGTCACCACCACGTTTGGGGATTACCAACCATGGGTCTTGAACCTGTGATCCTGGAACATCGCAGATGGCGTGCATAACGACAATAGCAAATAGGCAGACGAGGAGTGGGAGGACGAGTAGAAGAATGGGACGCACAGAGACATCCTAATACAATGTGTCTTCCTTGGAGGCGCACGTCCGACCCGAACACATAGCACCCCCATCTGTTAGTACATCGTTTCCCGAGCGGCGTGGCCAGAAAGCGCCCGCCACGACGCATACACTAAAAGCTTTCTCGGTGCGCGCGTGGCCCCTGGGGGACGAACCACATATAGTACAAGTATGCTGGGGTGACGCCGAAAGAAGGAGGATGAGGACGATCACGAAGACCAGGCTTCAGTCGGGCGTGTCCCCCTACAGGGGGATTTTGGGCGACAAATTATCCTGGCGAAGAACCTAACCATATGCAGTTGTGAATACCGCAATTGTGAATACCATCTTCGCCCGCGCTCCCTATGTGGCCACGGCTTCCCGCCTGAGCCCGACATGCTCAAGGACATGTTCGTGGCCGTCTTCGCGGGCGCCGACGACGACAAGGACGGCGTCCCTCTCACCGAGGAGCAGAAGCAGGAAAGGGCCTTGAGAGCCATGAGGGAGGAGGTGGCGTTGCACGTCGACAAGGCGGAGTACGACGCCTAGGCGCGGTTGTTGAAGCAGCACAACTATGGGGCCACGATCCTCGTGAGGGGTGTGCCGAAATGGCCCGAGGCCGCCATGCGAACCCTGCCACTGGGCCTTCGGTGGAGCTCCCTATGGGGCCACGATCCTCGTGAGGGGTGTGCCGAAATGGCCCGAGGCCGCCATGCGAACCCTGCCACTGGGGCCTTCGGTGGAGCTCCCTATGGGGCCACGATCCTCGTGAGGGGTGTGCCGAAATGGCCCGAGGCCGCCATGCGAACCCTGCCACTGGCGCCTTCGGTGGAGCTCCCTATGGGGCCACGATCCTCGTGAGGGGTGTGCCGAAATGGCCCGAGGCCGCCATGCGAACCCTGCCACTGGCGCCTTCGGTGGAGCTCCCTATGGGGCCACGATCCTCGTGAGGGGTGTGCCGAAATGGCCCGAGGCCGCCATGCGAACCCTGCCACTGGGGGCCTTCGGTGGAGCTCCCTATGGGGCCACGATCCTCGAGAGGGGTGTGCCGAAATGGCCCGAGGCCGCCATGCGAACCCTGCCACTGGGGCCTTCGGTGGAGCTCCCTATGGGGCCACGATCCTCGTGAGGGGTGTGCCGAAATGGCCCGAGGCCGCCATGCGAACCCTGCCACTGGGGCCTTCGGTGGAGCTCCCTATGGGGCCACGATCCTCGTGAGGGGTGTGCCGAAATGGCCCGAGGCCGCCATGCGAACCCTGCCACTGGCGCCTTCGGTGGAGCTCCCTTATGAGTCTACGATCGTCGTGAGGGGTGTGCCGAAATGGCCCGAGGCCGCCGTGCGAACCCTGCCACTGGCGCCTTCGGTGGAGCTCCCTATGGGGCCACGATCCTCGTGAGGGGTGTGCCGAAATGGCCCGAGGCCGCCATGCTAACCCTGCCACTGGAGCCTTCGGTGGAGCTCCCTATGGGGCCACGATCCTCGTGAGGAGTGTGCCGAAATGGCCCGAGGCCGCCATGCGAACCCTGCCGCTGGGGCCTTCGGTGGAGCTCCCTATGGGGCTACGAAACGCTGTGCTGGGTGGGTGAAACGCAAGGAGAAGGGGGAGGAGGAGAGGAGGAGAGGAGACGCGGGCCACCGTCTCTTCAAAACGAGGACCCAACACTACAGGATGGTTGGGAATAAAACAATATTAGAAAAATACCCCCCAAAGAAATTAAAAAAAAAACAAAAATGTCCCCAGGCTATGTTTTGACTATTTGTGAATATTCCTCCTGTAGAGGGACAGGCCCGATTTGAGACCAGGGCGAAGACGAGAGCGAGGAAGGGAATGAGGAGAGGAGGACAGCGAGGAGCAGCAGAACTGGCACGAGCAGGTGGAGAACGGCGAGAGCGGCGACGCACAGGATGGGGGCCGAGGGGCAAAGGAAGACGACGCCCTCGTCCTCGCCCCCATTCTTCCCCTCCTCCTCCCCCTCCTCCTTTCCTCCCTCTTCTCCTCCTCCTCCTCCTCCTCCTCCCCTCCCTCCTCCTCCTCCTCCTCCTCCTCCTCCTCCCCTCCTCTCCTCCTCCTCCTCCTCCTCCTCCTCCTCCTCCTCCTCCTCCTCCTCCTCCCTCCTCCTCCTCTCCTCCTCCTCCTCTCCTCCGCCTCCTCCTCCCCCTCCTCCTCCTCCTCCTCCTCCTCCCCCTCCTCCTCCTCCTCCTCCTCCTCCTCCTCCTCCTCCCTCCTTCCTCCTCCTCCCCTCCTCCTGCTCCTGCTCCTGCTTCTCCCTCCTCCTCCTCCTCCTCCTCCTCCTCCTCGCCCTCCTCCTCCTCCTCCTCCTTCTCCTCCTCCTCCTCCCCCTCCTCCCTCGTTGTCCTTGTCCTCGTCCACGTCGCCTTCGTCGGCGCATTCGGAGGGGACGGAGAGACGAGGAGCCTGCTGGCTGACCCAGGCGCGACCGGAGTGGACAGAGGCGGCACAGAAGCAGGCCCCAGTCGACTCGGGCCACCTCGGACCCACAGCCGACTCCACATCCCCACATCCCCTCCCAGACGCGCGGGGCCCGCCAGGATGGGGCGGCGCGGGAAGGCGCCGCCCAGCGGGTGCGAGGTGGGCCCCAGAGCCGGAAGAGGAGACCGCCTGCGGCCTCCGATCCTCGCCCTCCTCGCTCTCCTCCCCCTTCGTCCCCCTCGTCCTGCTCCTGCTCCTCCTCTTCCTCTCTTACCGCCTGCACCCCCGCTGCTGACGAACAACTCCTCCCTGTCGCGCCCCCAGAAGTGTCGGTGGGGCGGGCCGGGCGTCTCGCCTGAGACTTCCAGAACGACGGTTGATTTCGAGATGTGAGATTTGCAGTCGCGTCACGGATGGAGGGCGGGACGTTTGCAAAATGTGGTTCTCGCCTTAGCGCGGCTCATGGATTGAAGGCGGCCCGTTTTCAAAATGTTGCTCTTGCCTGGGCGCCGCGTGCATTCGTCACAAAAGTTTGCAACAATTTCACGGATGAAGGCGAATACCTTGGGCGCCGCGCACATTCGTCTGAAAGCCTCGCAGCCACTCGACGGATGGATGGCGATTCCTCCAAGAAACTTCGGTTTCGGCCTCAGCGCCGCGCACATTCGCCTTGAATATATGTGCAGCAAATTCGCGAATTCGCACCGCTGAATTCCCAGGAATGGTGTGCTGGCACGGTTTGGGTTTGTCATGACGCAACCGTCACATTGAGTCGCGGCGTTGAAGTCCCATGGATGGCATCCTGGGGCCATTCAGGTCTGTCAGGATACAAGGGTCACGTTGATTCGTGGCGCTGAAGTCCCAAGATTTTTGCACATATCAAGGTTCTCAAACGTATGTCTTCCAATGGGGCACTTCCCGCAATGAAGAGAATTTCATGTGGGGACTAATGACAGCGAACTTGGAGAGAGTGTTCATTGCAACATCGTTGATGCGCGTTGGGTTTGCACTGGTCCCCCTCCTCCTCCTCCTCCTCCTCCTCCTCCTGCTGCTCCTCTTCCTCCTCCTCCTGAGGCCTCATGGAGGTCTCGCGCAGCACGTGCACTCGTGCAATTAAACACTGACTACTCAAGGATGCGTCCAACCCGTCTGCAGCAAGCGGCAACGTGGACGAACCGAAACCCCGTGCGAGTGGTACGGAACCGCGGCAAGGAGATCAGGAGAACGATGGCGAAGAGGTCGTTGGCCTTCTCGTCATCCTCGTACTGCTCCAGCTCCTCCTCCTCCTCCTCCTCCTCCTCCTCTTCCTTCTCGCAATTTTTTTCCTCAATTTCCTCTTTCTCGTCCTCGACCTCTTCGCCCACCCCTGTCCAAACTCGCCCGCACCCCTCGATTACCTGTTCTTCTCATCCTCCTCACCCCTTTCGTCCTCACCCTCATCCTGCTCGACTTCGTCCTTGTCGACCGGGTTGTCGTCCTCATCATTTCCACCCTCCATTTCATAAAGGCAATCGGAGTCCGGTCCCCGTCCGCTTCCAATGCTCCATGTGCTTGTCACCGAGGTCGTACACGTTCAGGAGCACCTGGCCCAAAGAGGAGAGAACATGGGGAGGATCCAACCCCAGAATCCCTTATGGCGTCACACGACGGGCCACGAGTGCTTCTGGGGAAACCAAGAGGTACCAATGCCGCAACCCCTCGGACCTCTCCAGGGGTGCGTTCTGATCCGGATTTCGAAGCGAATCCATCCAGCGGTGAAGAAAAAACGGACGAGGGTAGCGGTTTGATGGGTACCTTTTCCTCCTCCGAGTTTCCCCCTTTCGCAACTTGGGCCCTGTGTGGCCCGTGGCTGGCCGCGGCACCATCTAACAACGGCCCGGAAAGAAGAGCCGGCTGGGGCCGGGGTGGGGCGGCCCCCCAGAGACACACAAAATAAATAGACACAGGTCCCAGGATTTCCTATCTTGTCCCATATGTGCGGGGTTGTCGTCTTCCCCCCTCTCCCCATATTTTCCCGCATGTTCCACGGAATCGATGTGTGAGGCCACTGGATACACCTGCGCAGGCCCAAACGAGTGAGGACACAGAGGCGCCCAAACCTAAGCCTTCTCAAGCCTCTCGCGCCTCTCTTTGCCGCGGACCACGCTCGCGGGAATGCCGGAATCGCGCAAGCCCGCGCGGTGCTGCAAATGAGGTGATGTCGGCGAAAGCAGCTCATCAAACCCGTCGGGTGCCTAGACATGATCGAAGATCTCGCGTGGCCGAGGATGGAGAAGAAGAAAACAGGAGGAGGAAGAGGAGGAGGAGGTCTCTGGAAGCTCCGAAACGTCCAACAAGCTCGAACCTCGACCCTGGACCTTCGAAGGAGGGGAAGAACAGGATGAGCGAAGAAACGCCCGAGGGGACAACCACTCGGCAACAGCAAGAATGGACGAGAGACACTACCGTCTAACTCGATCGGAGAGGACACGCAAGAGGACGCAAAACCCGTTCGAGGGCTCCGTTGCCATGGGAATGTAGAAGGCATGATAAGCTAAACAAGGGACAGAAAGGGTACCCTTGATTGGTAGATCGACCTACAGCTTGCGAAACAACTTTGACATGTAATCGTGCAATTTTCGTAACGCGAGCGTCGCGCCACGATGGCAGCGCTTTCTGGTGCGAGACAGGATGTCGCAAAATGTTATCTAACATGTTATTGTCTGGCGCGTCCCTTCTAACTGTTCGCTGACACTCATTGTCGGACGTGCTTTCTGCGAGACAGAACGTCGCACACATTGTAATTGTCCGGCAAGCATGCTCTCATTTCTCTCAGACAGTCATTGTCCTACATGCTTCGTCTTACTTCCCGCGCGCCCCATAGCGGCGAGCTTTGAACCGCGCTAGGCGAGCGGGCATCCCCCTCGCGAGCTTCTGCAAACGACTCCACTTCTGGCAGGGCGCATTTACCTCGTAGCTCTTCAGGATACGCGCTGCCCGCTGCCAGAAAAGCGCCTTGGTGATCACCTTGATAATCACCTTTTTGGCGTTTAAATAAACCTGCTCCCGCATAACTAAGTCCCTACGCAACCACGCCCACGCCGTCTCGATCGGATTCAGATCGCCCGAAGTATGACGGAAACGCACGAACGTGAGCCCGCTCGTCGAATCGTAGAGGTCAGGCTGCTTCAAGAACTGCTCGCCGTTGTGCCAGATCATTGAGCGCTTCTTGCGCGCGCTGCCTCCATCTGCATCTGCGGCCCGCTTCAGCGCGGGGACTTTCTTCGCCCACTCCTCCTTCACCATCTGGAGCCTGGGCGTCCACAGCCTTAAAGCAACACGCCAGCCCCCCGTAAATTCACCCCACAACGGCACCTTCGTCCCCAGCTGGGCGCCGCACCTGTTGTACACGTGGCAGTTGGGGTCGGAGTCCTCACCCATTCCTCATCCACATGCGGCGGATCGCCTGCGCCATTGTGAGAGTGACGCCGTCGAGGACTAAGCTCGCGTGGTCCTGCCATCACTTGGGGTTCTTGTCCGAGTACTTGTCGACACAAAACCCTCCGCTTCTGTCACTGAAGCCGCGGACCTTCGGCACGGCGCGCCAACGGTACCCGTGGCGGTGGCGGTTGACAACGTTGGCGATCGTTCTTGTGGTGCACTTCAGAAACGCCTGTTGCGGTGCTCCTTCACGAGAACCGCCACGGCCTTCTCTTGCTCTAGGGACAGCGCGCGCGGCCGCCCACAATTCGCGCACTTCGTCTGCGGCGCCCCGCCAGTCTCCCTGCTGCGGCCCACCATCCGGATGGCATCCCACACGGCCTTCACAACCGGACGGAGACCTGCCAGGCTGACGACCTCGTCGCAGACCGAGTCAAGGGGAAGCTCCTGTTCCTGCCGGCATGCAACACCCCCGCACCCCGCCGCGCGCCCCCCCCCCCCCGCCGCGCGCGCGCACTCGCGCGCGCGCGCGCGCTCGCACGCGCACACGCCCGCGCGCGCACTCGCACTTGCACTCGTTCGCGTGCGCGCGCCCCCGCGCGCGCGCGCCCGGCCTCTTGCGCACCTTGTTGCCCAGTGGTGCTTGTGCAGGTGCCACGCCACTGCGGCTTGCAGAGGGCGGCACGGCGCGGCCCTGCGCATGGACCGCAATCTGAGAACCAAACGCGGCATGGCGCGGCACACGGGCACGGGCACGGCACAACTGCACGCGCGGCACAACGCGGCACGACACAATTGCACGCGCTGAAGACCAAGCGCGGCACGGCACGAAACGGCTCGGCACGGCGGCCGACGGCGACCGCTCGCAACGACAGTTGCAAAATACGACGAAGTCCCGCTTCGGCGGGACAGAGGTCTCGTCTGAAATGCGAAAAAAACGAAATCACCCGAAGCCGAAACCGTGAATACCCCAGGATAACTATTCCGTATGTGCAAAGCCACTGGGATCATTAAGGCCGGGATCTTGGATACAATGGGGTAGTGTATGTAAAAAACCGATGGGGCAATTCCGGTCCCGGGTTATATATATATATATATATACATATATATATACACATACATACATACATACATACATACATACATACATACATTCACATATATATATATATATATATATATATTCGGGCCGAACCCCCAGGATCAAATTATCCCGCCGCTGGCAGAGGCCTGGAACAACTCTTTTCTGTGGGATTCTCAAGAAGTGGGGCTCAATGCACTTTTGGCAATTCCGCGGCCCCTTAGAATCTCAGACGAACGTTTGCCTCACCGCCGTAGGCCACCAAAGCAAGAAGGGGGAAGTCGCAACTATGCACGCGTCGTGAGGCACCGCCCACAGATGACCACCCACAGTGCACCGAGGAAAGACGAGAGAACCGCGATAACGCAACCTGTCATCAAACACGCATGCAATCATACTTTGGGGCACCAGAAGCAGACACAACCACTGGAACCCTGATGAAGTCGCAGCAAAGAGAGCGGGCCCGACGCGAGCGCGGAATCCATTTCCAAACATATCTTCTCGAACTGTACTAATGAATCTCGGCGTGTCTTGGCCCGGATGCAGAGACGACGACGACGACGACGACGACGACGACGACGACGACGGCGACGGCGACGGCGACGGCGACGGCGACGGCGACGGCGACGGCGACGGCGACGGCGACGGCGACGGCGACGGCGACGGCGACGGCGACGGCGACGACGACGACGAGGGCGACGGCGACGGCGACGACGACGACGAGGGTGACGGCGACGACGACGACGACGCCGACGCCGACGCGGACTCCCACGACCACGACGACGACGACGACGACGGCCACGGCCACGGCGACGACGACGACGAGGTGTCGAGGAGACCAGAGGAGCAGCAGCAGCAGCGGCAGCAGCAGCGCGTGGGGCCGAGGGCGCGCCAGGTCGACGGTGGGCGCGGCCATCTCGTCGTGCTCCACGACCAGGGTGGGCACCTGCGGGCGGGTTTTTCGTCGTCGCCGTCGCCGCCGCCGCCGTCGTCGCCGTCCTCGTCGTCGTCGTCGCCGTCGCCTCCGTCGCCTTCGCCCCCGCCGCAGGCCGCCGCCGTCGCCGCCGCCGCCGTCGTCTCCGTCGTCTTCGCCCCCACCGCTGGCCGCCGCCGTCGCTGTCGTCGCCGCCGCTGTCTAGAGAAGTTCGCCTTCCGAGGCTTTCGGGCACCGTCTCGCTGGCTCCCAAACATCTTCGGCGTGTTGCGGCATGCCCCCCGAGACTCCTCCAGGCCCCCGCGCGCCACACGACGGGATGGCCGCCCGCCTCGTCGCCCTCCCCGTGTTCCTCGCGCCTTTCCTCCTGCTCCTCCCCGAGGCGGCGGAGGACGAGCGGGACGAGGACGAGGATTCCGGCTTGTTCTTGGAGGGAGGCGCCGGGCGGGTCCTGCACTTGTCGTGGGGTCTCGGAGCTGCGGCGTCGCGTTCCTGTCAGCCCGCGGCTCGATCGAGGGACCACTGACGGCAGGGAGGATACAGCCCCGAAAGAAAGCGAGAGGGGGCGAGCCGTATATAGGCGTACACAAGCAAGGAGAGGCAGAAGAGGGAGGGCAAGGAGGGGTGGTCGAAAAGGGGGGAGGAGTGGGGGGGGAGGGGTGGGGCCTGGTCCTCCTCCTCCTCCTCCTCCTCCTCCTCCTCCTCCTCCTCCACTATTACTCAATATGAATACTACTCTCCCTCTTCCCCTGATGACGGTTTGAAAGTGTCCGACCCCCCCCCGCGTACTGTTTTTTTACACACAGGTTTCCGCGGAGTTGGGTTTTCGCCTACATTTTTTTCAAAATGCTGCTCTCGCTGAGGCGCCGGCCTCATTTTCGGGCCCCGCTCGTTCCGAATCGTGCACCCGCTGCAGCGCTGGCCTCATTCCCGTGCTTCCGCTCGTCCCGAATCGTGCTCCCGCTGCAGCGCTGGCCCCATTTCCGCGCTTCCGCTCGTTTCGACTCGTGCTCCCGCTGCAGCGCTGGCGTCATTTTCCGTGCCATGCCACGGCATGCAATGCAACGCTTGGTTGATACTACGCTTCGCTGTGCTCTTCTACGCCATGCCATGCCGTGATCTACTATGCATCGCGTACCCTTTCGGGATCATTGCCCTGCTCGACATCCGACTGTGCGAGAAGAGAGGGGATCTGCGCCATTGTAAGGGGTGGGAGGGAGGGGCAGGATGTCAGATATGACGCGAGCGCACCTAGCTTGTCCTCCACCTCCTCCTCCTCCTCCTCCTCCTCCTCCTCCTCCTCTTCCATCTCCTCCTCCTCCTCTTCCCTATCCTCCTCCTCCACCTCCACCTCCTCCTGCTCCTCCTCCTCCTCCTCATCATCATCACCATCACCATCACCATCACCATCACCATCACCATCACCATCACCACCACCACCACCACCATCATCATCATCATCATCATCATCATCATCATCATCATCATCATCATCATCATCATCATCATCATCATCATCATCATCATCATCATCATCATCATCATCATCATCATCATCATCATCATCAGCATCAGCATCAGCATCAGCATCAGCATCAGCATCAGCATCAGCATCAGCATCATCAGCATCAGCATCAGCATCAGCATCAGCATCAGCATCAGCATCAGCATCAGCATCAGCATCAGCATCAGCATCAGCATCAGCATCAGCATCAGCATCAGCATCATCAGCATCACCATCAT